CTGTCTCCTTCGGGCGGCCGGCCGAGTGAGCCGTCTCAGTGGGCCGTCTCCTCCTGCCGGCCAGCGGCGCTCGGCGTTTCTCGGCGTTTCTGCCACACTCACTGCGCCGGCCGCCAGGTAGTCCGGCCCGTCGGCCCGTCTTGCACCGTCCGCCAGGCGTCACAGCGCTCCTGGACGGCCCGGGTCGCGAGCAAGAAGGGTGCGTCTGGCCTCGGCGTTCGGTCGGCCGGCCGGGTGTAATTGTTTTTCTCTTGTCCAGGTGATAGATAGCGCTCCGGGTCGGTCTGTTTTGCCCGTGTAATGCATGCTAAACGGCGGCGGCCCGCCGGCGTGGAATGGCGTATTAGCGGTCATTTGTTGGCCAGGTGGGCGGCCGCTCCAAAACACGCCGGCATCCGGCGAATGGCGGCCAGTTACTGGCCGGGTCGGAATGTGTCCCTACCGACTGGTGTCGGCCGAGGGCCGGCCGGCGCCCGCTCTCAGCCGCTCACCCTGGTGTCGGTCTGCGCCGTCCATCGCACTCCCGCTCCGTCGGCCTGTGCCGCCCATCGCACCCCCGCTCCGTCGGTCTGCGGCGCTCACCATGGCTCGGAGTCGCGCTGCGCCGATCCGCTCAGCGCGCGTGTCAACCGGCTGATCGGTCAGTCGTTCAGTGGGCCACACAGCGTGTCGGCTGGCGGCGCTGGCAGCCGCCCGCGCCGCGGCTATGTTTAGCCTCCAATGTAATCAGCCGGCCCGGGCTGATTGCAGAGGTAAACGTCGGTCTCGATGAAGTGCAGACGGCGGCGCAGACGGATCGGGCCGCACCGACCGTCCGGGTCACGGCCGGCGAGATTGGCAGCGCTGGCGGCCGGCGCCGCTGCCCGGCGACCTCTGACCTGCCGCCGCCCGGTGACCTGCCGCCGCCACCCGGTGACCTGCCGCCACCCGGTGACCTGCCGCCGCCCGGCGACCTGTGACCTGCCGCCACCCGGTGACCTGTCGCCGCCGCCCGGCGACCTGTGACCTGCCGCCACCTGACGGAGGAGCCGGTGCCTTCCACGGGCTCCCGCCTCTCCGTCCGGCCGGTCGGCGCTGCCCCTCGCGCCGGGTCCCACCCAGGTGACGCGGCTGGTATGTGTGTGAGTGTGTGCGGGATGGGTCCCCGGCGGGCCGGGCGGTATGCTGATCTCCGTGTTGTGGCCATACGCGCCCCTTCCTGCGGAAGCCGGTGCGAAGCTCGGCCGGGCCGCGCCTGCCGCCCTGTCCGCGGAGGGAGGGGTCGGGCGTTATCAGGTGCGATATAGACCGCGGAGGGAGGGGTCGGGCGTTGTCAGGTGCGATGCAGACCGGCTGAGCCAGCGCGCCCAGCTCGGTCGGGGCGCCGCCGAAGGCTGGACGGCTGATGTGTGGGGGTCACACCTCGCCGAGGCCTCGCTCGGCAGATGGCTGGCCTCGCTCAGTCCACGGCTGGCAGTGGGCCACCGGTGCCGACCAGGGACCGCCGGCGCGGCGCGGCGATCAGACGGCTCGCAGCGACCGCACCCCGCCGGCCGCGGGGCGCCGACTGCGCCGGACAGCGTCCGTGCGCGCCGCTCATGTCCAACTGCCGATCTGCCCGTCAATAATTACATCGTTCAGACGGACCGTAAAATCACGCAGCCCGCACGCGAGCGGAGCCCGGAGTCGGCCGCGGCGCCGCGCCGAGACGGCCGCTCTCCCGGCTGCGGCCAGCACACAGCCGCTCTGCTTCTGAAGGGGTGAATATGAATGCCTACCTTCAACGAGGCATTCTTATTCACTCAGATCATAACAGTACCTATTAATGTGCAGCGTATTGCAAATGATCGGCGCCGCTTACAGTTTTGACTCAATATCATTTTTAGACGTCTGTTTGCGCAATTGAGCTGTTGCTGATGTGGCACTTGCTCAGGCTCGATGCTTTGCTGTCCTATGACAATCATATGGAAGAAGCCTTTCATATGGCCATGGCTGGCCGGCCGGCCGGTCTCGACCGCGGCCCACCAAATGCCCCGCCGGCACGCGTGACCAATGTAGGTATCTGGACGGAGTGCGGCAGAGGCCCGGGCCGGCACTGCGTGCAGTATCGGCCCCTGGATCTCGGCAGACGCCGAAACACGGAGGAGACGCGTGGATGGGTACGGGCCGCCGGCCGCCGTGGTAAAATTGCACACCGGGCCTATCAGATATGCGTAATGCCGACCGGGCGGCCGAATGTAACATCGATCAGATACGGCCGGCGCCAGCGGGCCGATCGCAACTGCGGGATGGTCGACATTGCTTAATTGGAACGGAGTCGTCCCTCACCCTGTCTCCTAATTAGAATAGCGCTCCGGGCCTCATTAAGGCCACTCACAAGGCAGTGAAATTTTCCCTTTTTCTCTCTGTCGTGAGTCGACTCGTGACTTGTCCTCACCTCCCGCACTCATTTTCCTATGCCCACCACTGCCTACTATATACTCGTATTGTTATGCGGCATGAGCGAGATGGTGCTCTCGGGTAGTGGTCCCACCGCGTGGTGTCGGTCCGGCCGGACTCAAAATGTGTCCGCCGACCCTCCTGTGTGTCGGTCCGGCAGACCTGTCGGCGGAGTGGGCCGGTCACTGGCGGGGTCCGGCGGGATGGGCCGGTCGCGGGTCGGGCGGTGGATGATGCCCCTGGCATGGTCTCTGTGTGAACGCGCTGTTAGCGGCTGTGCGGCGGGTCGGCCGTCCGTCCGTCCGATCCTGCCGTCGGTGACCGGTGACCCGGCGGTCCCGGTGACCGGTGACCGGGCGGCCCTGGTGACCGCGCCGTCACCAGACGGACCGCTCCGGTGACACGGCCTGCCTGCACTCAGCACGGGCGCCGCGTGCTGGCGCAGCATTTTTAGGCCGTCTGTGAAAACATGGCGGCGTCAGCACGCGATGGGGCGATTTTTGCGCGCGCCGCCATCGCCGCAATGCGGAACAGGCCGTGTGGCCGCCGATTTGGTGGTGTCCGCGCGGCGACCGGTGGGCGGGTCCGCCGGGGGACTGCAGTCACCACACTGACCAAACGGCGCATTGCAGTGTGACCTCAGCGCCGGCCGGCGGCTCCTTTATAGGGCACCGGCTCCGGCGCTGTGGGATGTCCACTCCATCGCGGCGACCGGGCACCGACGGTCGGTGCACGACTTTTCTGATTGCTTTTCCAATGGCGTATGTACACGCTGAGGAATTTGACGTTTGATCGCTAAGTGATCGAATGCGGTAAGAGAGGACACGAGCTATCCCAATTTTTAAACACTTATTTGTAGCGGACGCCAAGTTATTGTTTTTGTCCATCTCCATTAGGAGTGTGCATGTATATTTTTCTGCATCTCAATTACGTAAACGCACGTAAGGCACGGAATATGCTTATAATGGCATGCATCATTGGGACACATGTGACAAACACCTCGGTGGCACTTCCTATAGCGCTATCCCGGGAGTCATCTGATGCCGAACAGCGTCGCCGTGGAGCTCCCGGATCGGACGGCGCCATAGTTCCGCGGGTCGCGCTCAGTTTGGGTGCTATTGATGCTATTGGTGCTAGGGTGCTTCCCGGCCGGTCAGAGCAGGGCTCTGCTGAGGGGCAGTTTTTCAGAATAGCTGCTCCATTCTCCATCTCATATTTCTGTTGAGCTGATCGTTATGACGTCACCCGGTCACATCACGAAGGCGGCCGGTCGCCGAGCTCAGCGCCCATTACGGGTCGAGTTTGGCCAGCGGAGGTGCTGGGGTCGCCCGTGGCGTCGGGTCAGCGGCGCCCAAACAGGAAGGCTGGCCGCCGGCGCCGGTCGGAGACAGCCGACTGACACGGCGGGTCAGACGCCGTGCTGAGTGGGCGCTGCGGACACCTCACCGCCGACCCGACCCGGACCGGGCCGGGCCAGGGCACCGCCACAGGAACGGGGCCCTGGCCGGACGGTCCCAGCGACAGCTCCGAGACACCCGTTATGTAACCAGCGGCGGTGGGCACAGTTTGGTGGGCCGCCGTGCGCCCCTGCATTGTATCTCCAAATCGGGGAGCAGCTATGTCTGGGGTGGTCCATCAGCCACCGTCCATCAATCACCGTGGGCGGCCGGACCGGGACGGCTGTCCGCGGCCGGTCGCCGGCTGCGTGCGCTCCGCGGACTGCGTGACCGTCGCTATTTCCTGTGCTGCCTCTGTCGGTACGCCGCTCCAAAAGTGTACCGAGTCACGGGTGAGCTGACCTGCGCCACCGGACAGTGACCTGACCTGGTCCTGCCTGCCACCGGACGGTGATCTGACCCCTGTCCTGCCTGCCTGCAGACAGTGACCTGACCCCGGTCCTACAGTGATCTGACCCCGGTCCTGCCTGCCCGCAGGGCGCAGACAGTGACCCGACCCCGGCCCTGCGCCACCGGACAGTGACCTGACCCCGTCCTGCGCCACCGGACGGTGATCTGACCCCTGTCCTGCGCCACCGGACAGTGACCTGACCCGGTCCTGCCTGCTGGACAGTGGCCTGACCCCGTCCTGCGCCACCGGACGGTGATCTGACCCCCCCGTCCTGCGCCACCGGACAGTGACCTGACCCGGTCCTGCCTGCTGGACAGTGACCTGACCCCGTCCTGCGCCACCGGACGGTGATCTGACCCCTGTCCTGCCTGCGTGCAGACAGTGACCTGACCCCGGTCCTACAGTGACCTGATCCCGGTCCTACAGTGACCTGACCCCGGTCCTGCCTGCCCGCAGGGCGCAGACAGTGACCTGACCCCGGCCCTGCTCCACCGGGCAGTGACCTGACCCCCCGGTCCTGCTCCACCAGGCAGTGGCCTGACCCCGGTCCTACAGTGACCTGACCCCGTCCTGCCTGCCTGCAGGGCGCAGACAGTGACCTGACCCCAGCCCTGCTCCACCGGGCAGTGACCTGACCCCCCGGTCCTGCTCCACCAGGCAGTGGCCTGACCCCGGTCCTACAGTGACCCGACCTCGGACCTACAGTGACCCGACCCCGGTCCTCCTGCCCGCAGAAGGACGTGCTGGAGTCGTCGGCTCTGAAGCTGACGTCCCGTGAGCGGCGCTTCATCAAGTTCGCCTCCGTGGAGCACCAGGGTCAGCTGTACATGACCACGCAGGACTTTATCGAGAGCATCACCGAGGCTGAGCCCAGGCGTGAGTGGGGATTGGCGAAGGGAGTGTTACAGGGATCGGTGGAGGGAGTGTTACAGGGACCGGTGGAGAGAGTGATACAGGCGGCGGACGGCGGGGAACTAGTGGGAGTGGGACAGGCGGCGGACGGCGGGAACTAGTGGGAGTGGGACAGGCGGCGGACGGCGGGGAACTAGTGGGAGTGGGACAGGCGGCGGACGGCGGGGACTAGTGGGAGTGGGACAGGCGGCGGACGGCGGGGAACTAGTGGGAGTGGGACAGGCGGCGGACGGCGGGGACTAGTGGGAGTGGGACAGGCGGCGGACGGCGGGGAACTAGTGGGAGTGGGACAGGCGGCGGACGGCGGGGAACTAGTGGGAGTGGGACAGGCGGCGGACGGCGGGGACTAGTGGGAGTGGGACAGGCGGCGGACGGCGGGGAACTAGTGGGAGTGGGACAGGCGGCGGACGGCGGGGACTAGTGGGAGTGGGACAGGCGGCGGACGGCGGGGAACTAGTGGGAGTGGGACAGGCGGCGGACGGCGGGAACTAGTGGGAGTGGGACAGGCGGCGGACGGCGGGAACTAGTGGGAGTGGGACAGGCGGCGGACGGCGGGGACTAGTGGGAGTGGGACAGGCGGCGGACGGCGGGGAACTAGTGGGAGTGGGACAGGCGGCGGACGGCGGGGACTAGTGGGAGTGGGACAGGCGGCGGACGGCGGGGAACTAGTGGGAGTGGGACGGACGGCGGACGGCGGGGAACTAGTGGGAGTGGGACGGACGGCGGACGGCGGGGAACTAGTGGGAGTGGGACAGGCGGTGGACGGCGGGGAACTAGTGGGAGTGGGACAGGTGGCGGACGGCGGGGAACTAGTGGGAGTGGGACGGACGGCGGACGGCGGGGAACTAGTGGGAGTGGGACGGACGGCGGACGGCGGGGAACTAGTGGGAGTGGGACAGGCGGCGGACGGCGGGGACTAGTGGGAGTGGGACAGGCGGCGGACGGCGGGGAACTAGTGGGAGTGGGACAGGCGGCGGACGGCGGGGAACTAGTGGGAGTGGGACAGGCGGCGGACGGCGGGGACTAGTGGGAGTGGGACAGGCGGCGGACGGCGGGGAACTAGTGGGAGTGGGACAGGCGGCGGACGGCGGGAACTAGTGGGAGTGGGACAGGCGGCGGACGGCGGGAACTAGTGGGAGTGGGACAGGCGGCGGACGGCGGGGAACTAGTGGGAGTGGGACAGGCGGCGGACGGCGGGGAACTAGTGGGAGTGGGACAGGCGGCGGACGGCGGGGACTAGTGGGAGTGGGACAGGCGGCGGACGGCGGGGAACTAGTGGGAGTGGGACAGGCGGCGGACGGCGGGGAACTAGTGGGAGTGGGACAGGCGGCGGACGGCGGGGACTAGTGGGAGTGGGACAGGCGGCGGACGGCGGGGAACTAGTGGGAGTGGGACAGGCGGCGGACGGCGGGGACTAGTGGGAGTGGGACAGGCGGCGGACGGCGGGGAACTAGTGGGAGTGGGACAGGCGGCGGACGGCGGGGAACTAGTGAGTAGTGGGAGAGTGGGACAGGCGGCGGACGGCGGGGGACTAGTGGGAGTGGGACAGGCGGCGGACGGCGGGGACTAGTGGGAGTGGGACAGGCGGCGGACGGCGGGGAACTAGTGGGAGTGGGACAGGCGGCGGACGGCGGGGACTAGTGGGAGTGGGACAGGCGGCGGACGGCGGGGACTAGTGGGAGTGGGACAGGCGGCGGACGGCGGGGACTAGTGGGAGTGGGACAGGCGGCGGACGGCGGGGACTAGTGGGAGTGGGACAGGCGGCGGACGGCGGGGACTAGTGGGAGTGGGACAGGCGGCGGACGGCGGGGAACTAGTGGGAGTGGGACAGGCGGCGGACGGCGGGGAACTAGTGGGAGTGGGACAGGCGGCGGACGGCGGGGAACTAGTGGGAGTGGGACGGACGGCGGGAGGGATATGGGGAGGGGGCGGACGGCGGAGAGGATCTGGTGTAAGGACTAAGCAGTGAAGCATGGGAGGTGGCGGGAATTTGCAGGAGAAAGGGACAGTCATACGGGAGATTCCAGCGCCGCTGGGGCCATGTGCCCGTTGGAATTGGTACGTGGAAGTGCCGTTTTCCTGGCTGGCTTCGGCCTACGCCCCTGTCGCGTGCTATTAGTGGCATGTTGATCTGTCACTGTTTGTGGGGCTGGCTCTGGCATGTCTATGGGAGCGATGTGTGCGGTGATAGGTGCCGTTTTGTCACATTCCGCGGGTAGTGCGGCGCTGCCGCCGTGTGGTGCCGTGACGCCAGGGCTGGTCGGTGCGGCGGGCTTCCACGACCACCGGCCCGGGGCCAACCGCCGTGTAGCCGGGCCGGTGGTGGTGTCACACAACCCCACGTCAGGTGGCCCCTCTGCTTCTGTGACTGTGTGCCCTCTGACTGTGTGCCCTGTGACTGTAACTGTGACTGTGACTGTGTGTCTTGTGAATGTGACTGACTGCGTGTACCCGCCGCCGCCGTTGCAGCTCGCCTGAAGCGGCGCATCCTGCTTCCCCGGGACCTGGACCACTTCTACGCCGTGACCCCGCGGGCCAGCAAGAGCACCACGCACATGTTCCGAGACCTGCACGACACGGGTAACTGCTCCGAGCCAGCTGGGTCACAGGGCGCCCACCTCAGCTGGGTCACAGGGCACCCTCAGCTGGGTCACAGGGCACCCCCAGCTGGGTCACAGGGCGCCCCCAGCTGGGTCACAGGGCACCCCCAGCTGGGTCACAGGGCGCCCCCAGCTGGGTCACAGGGCACCCCCAGCTGGGTCACAGGGCGCCCCCAGCTGGGTCACTCACAGGGCACCCACCGGCCGCGGGCCCGACCTCCTCCGGCCGTCGGGAGACGGCGGCCCGCGCTGGGCTTTCCGCTCCCGCACACCGTGTGAACCGCTCAGTTTGGTATGCCCTATGTGTCAGGGAGGAGCGGGCGCCGCCGGCCTTTCCAGTTTCCACCCTTATCGCACTCGGCCTGAATGTGTGGTAGGCGGGCGGGCTTGAACTGCTTGGTGAATGGTAGGTATGCTGCATTTTTGTGCGAGCGTCGTTGTAGATTCAGAAAAGTTCGGCGGTGCTCTGTGAGTCACGGCGGTGGCTTGCAGGGCGGCGCGGGAGCCGCCGCGGCCCGCGCGCCCTCCCTGTGATCTACCGACGGCAGGCATCTCGGACTGAGTGGCCGCCGCCTGCCAGCAGTCGTTTTCTGGTCAGCGGGTTTTATCATCCATTGCCACGTCGCGGCCTCTGGGGCGGCCGTTGATTTACAAAGATACCCGCCAGTGGCCAGGACCTGTTTCGGCATGTCCGTGACAATTATGCATACTAATGAATCAGCGGCCGGCCGGCCGGCCCTCCGTACCCGATAGTGTTTCCGAACAATACGGCCGTATCTGAGGATCGCGCGCCGCCCCTCAGACGGCTCATGTCGCAACTGGAGCGGGCCGCTCGTCAGGCGGCGACGGCCTTCCGGGACGGAGCGACTGGCAGACGGGCCGGCCGCCGGCTCCGGCCGAGGGCCCCTCCTCCTGCACACGGTGGTCGAGAAGCCCCTTCACTCGCTGGTCGCCGGTTTTCTGCTGCGCCCGGTGTCCTGAGACGATGGCGGCCCCCATGTGCCCGGTCGTGGGCCCCTGCGCGCGGTGGTCGGTCCCCGATGGTCGTGGAGCGCAGTGCCGCTGCCCGCAGCGGTCGGCGGCAGAGCGCAGGTCGGCGGCGGAGCGCAGGTCGGCGGCAGAGCGCAGGTCGGCAGCAGAGCGCTGGTCGGCGGCAGAGCGCAGGTCGGCGGCAGAGCGCAGGTCGGCGGCAGAGCGCAGGTCGGTGGCGGAGCGCAGGTCGGCGGCAGAGCGCAGGTCGGCGCCGGCCGGTAGAACTGGTGGGACCGGGCCGCCGGAGGTCGGCCGGCCGGCCTTGGTGCGCGCCGTCACCGGCCAGTTGCGTGTCCCCGGGACCGCCGGGGCCGCCGCTACCGGCCGCCACTCCTGCTGTCACTGCTACTGCCGGCCGCTACCGGCGCTGTCACCGGCTGTCACCGGCTACCGGCCGCCGCTCCTGCTGTCACTGCTACTGCCGGCCGCTACCGGCGCTGTCACCGGCTGTCACCGGCTACCGGCCACCGGTGCTGCTGCTGCCGTTGCTGCTGCCGCTGCTGGTGACACCGCCGTTAATCAGACCGGCGTCACGGACACAGGTAGATCCCCAGCGCTTCCGTCACTGTCTGTGACACAGTATGTCTGACACTGTCTGCCAGCCGCCCGGGGCGGTACGGACGGTCAGGGGGTCTCCCGGCGTGGTACAGATGGTCTGACATTCTGTGCACTCAGCCTGCTGACCTGCTTGCTGGACACTGTACAGGGTGTCCGGATAGTTCTGGCGCTTTTCAACATTTTCTAAAACAAATGCCATTGGTTCATAGATACTAATCAATGGATCAAAACAATGACCAGGGACACCAAGCCACATGCTTCCGCTACGTGCTCATTCAATGTAACCATCGCCGGCGCCGACGACGGCCTCGACGTAGGGGAGGAAGCGTCTGCGGGTTTTGACGATGCGGGGCATTTCCAGGTCCTCCCATGCTGTCATGATGCGAGTCTTCAGCGACTCCAGGTTGGGGTGAGAAATGGCCTAGATCCTGTTCTACAAAACGCGTAGCACGCCTTAGTCGAGCGGGTCAGGTTAGGAGAATAAGGCGGCCTGATCTCATTTCGCCACGGTGATCTGGCCCGGCAAGCTCCTCTGTCAGTTTAGCTTGAATGGCAGCGGCGTTGTTGGAGGGTGCTCTGTGCTGTTGAAATGCGAAGTGACCCGTAGGGCATGTCGTCTTGACCCTCGGGTTGATGTGGCTGTCCAGGAACCCCTCGTGGGCCAGCCTGTTATTCATTTATTCGACATTGACGAAGATGATGGGACATTTTTGTCCATCAGACCCCCGCACTTTCTTCGATTGCCGCGCTGAAATGCTGCTCCGTTCCCATATCGCGTTCGAAACGGTCTGAGGATATTTTCTAAGGAATTCCCGAGTCGAAATAAACCTTTACCTGCTAAACCATTCATCGAAAAACGCCGCATCGCGCTGCAGCTCGAGCCTCGTTCAAGTCGCACCCGGCCGCCGCGCGCAGGCATTCAGCGACAAGGCGCATCTTCGCCCATCTACCCATCACTGAAAACGATTTCAAGGTCATATTTACACGACCTCTGGCTGAGCAATCAACGAGGGGTCATGTCTGTGATGATTGGCTGAATGTCCAATAATCACAGCGCGCGTTACACGGCGTCCAAAAGAAGCGCCAGGACTTTCCGGACACCCTGTACACTGCACAGGCGGCCAGCCGTCCCCGGTTGGCTAGGCCCTGCTCTGCGCGCCTGGTTTGGATAGTGGCAGTAACGGGCCAGAGTGCAGCGCCCCCCGGCTGCACTCGTTGGCGTACACGGCGCTGCGGATGTGATTGAGTCATAGGGGGTATTAATGTTACTTTTAATTGGCATTAGGTCACCGTAATTGACTGACGGTAATAAGTGACTCTTAGCTTCCGTTGCCGGCAGTGCATTGTTGTTGCTAATTTCCTGTCGCACTTTACCGCCCATGTCTGTTTTTACTGAATGAGTCTGTGCCAGCTGACCCGATGTTGCGATAGTGTCGCTGACGGTAATCGGTTCGGTGACTAGCGCGGCGGACTAGGTGTGTCTGACGCCGCGCGCCGCGCTGTTCCAGGCATCATATCGTACACCGAGTACCTGTTTCTGCTCTCCGTTCTCACGAGTAAGTTGACCTCCGGCCCGCTGCCGGCCGTGGCCGTGACTCACTGCTGTCGCTCATTATTGTATAACCGCTGTTTTCCTGAAAAGTGGTACTGATGTGTTTCCCTTCCCTGCGCTTCGCCTAGTCTAGGGTTTCCCCTACCGTTGAACGGTCGCTAAAAGTGTGAAGCCTCTTTCCGTCATTGAAACCACAGACAGCACTGGCGCACGAACCAAACCGCTTCTCTCCAAAAATTCCGGCCCTGTTTTCGACTCCAACTGTGACTTCTGTTGTCCAGTTATCACTAAAAGGGGATTTTCGGATTCGTTGAAGTTGAATGCAAATGCCTGGAAAAAAATCACTGTGAATTTTGTTTCGAATTGCCGTTTGTTGTCTTTCAAAGTGTACAGTGATCTGTTATTATTGTGCCGGTCGTTTGTTTCGGCGGCGTGCCCCTGCGCCCCGCGCCACCGTCTCACCCCCGTCTCACCGCCACCTCACCCCCGTCTCACAGTCAACTCACCCCCGTGTCACAGCAAACTCACCCCCGTCTCACCGCCACCACCTCACCCCCGTGTCACAGCCAACTCACCCCCGTCTCACCCCCGTCCCACCCCGTGTCACCGCCACCTCACCCCGTCTCACCGCCACCTCACCCACGTCCCACCCCATCTTACCGCCACCTCACCCCCGTCTCACCGCCACCTCACCTCCGTCTCTCCGCCTCTCACCGTCTCTCGCCGTCTCCCCAGAGCCGGCCACGGGGTTCCGGATCGCCTTCAACATGTTCGACACGGACGGCAACGAGCGTGTTAGCCGAACAGAGTTCCTCGTGGTACGTACCGCTGGGGACGGAGAGAGCTGTTCGGGACGGGGGAGGGGGAGGGGCGGCTGCTCGGTCGGACCCTGTGCAGTCTGATGGGCAGTGTGGGACCCTGTGCAGTCTGATGGGCAGTGTGGGACCCTGTGCAGTCTGATGAGCAGTGTGGGACCCTGTGCAGTCTGATGGGCAGTGTGGGACCCTGTGCAGTCTGATGGGCAGTGTGGGACCCTGTGCAGTCTGATGGGCAGTGTGGGACCCTGTGCAGTCTGATGGGCAGTGTGGGACCCTGTGCAGTCTGATGGGCAGTGTGGGACCCTGTGCAGTCTGATGGGCAGTGTGGGACTCTGTGCAGTCTGATGGGCAGTGTGGGACCCTGTGCATGTGCAGTCTGATGGGCAGTGTGGGACCCTGTGCAGTCTGATGGGCAGTGTGGGTCGGACCCTGTGCAGTCTGATAGGGCAGTGTGGGACCCTGTGCAGTCTGGTGGGCAGTGTTGGCTCTCTATTGACTCACCGAATGGGGTAATGGGTGGGTAGGGTAGACAACGAGACTAACTGCTGGAGGGTAGCATTGAATTTTGACGGAAGTTGAAAGATCACAGTCGGTGTCTTGGTGATATGATAACATCTATGTTAAGTTGTTATCAGACAACACATTCATATTTATTTATCCGTATAAAGTTATTGTGTTCGTCTGACTTTTTGCTTTGAGGTGCTATTAAATATCGAGAAGTACATTTATGTAGAAAATTCTCTCCACCCTTCAGAATCGCCCTCGCAGCAGTGAAGAAATGAACTAAGTTAGCGTCATTTTCTTCCAGCCACCATTGTTAATGTTCATGCAGAGATAGTGTTTTGTCAGTGTGGGGATCGTGCTCCCCGATCGTCCCCCTTTTTACTGCCGCTGTTGATACAGTCTGCCGGCGTGTATGACCTGTGTGCTGTCTTGATGCGCCCGTCTGTGGATGTGCGTCTGTGACCGGTTAACCAGAGGACTTAGGTCGGTAACTGAGGACTGGAGAGGCGCCAGCGCTGCACATACCCCACTGTCGGCCCCCTCTGTCTCCCACGGCTGATCGGACCTCTGTTTTCCGCTTCTTCTTCTCTCCTTGCGCTCTTCTCTGCACTGTGTATACGTCGTTTTGCCTTTCTTCTCTTCTCGTCTGCGTCTGCGCTGCCCTGCTAAGTGGTCCCTCTCTGTGTCGGGCGTGCACCATACTACGGACTCAGCCGAGCACGGACGCGGCCGCACCGCTCCTGCTCCCAGTGAGACTGCCCGGCGACCTGCAGTGACCCGCAGTGACCGGCAGTGACCGGCCGTGACTGGCCGTGAGGGGGCGCCACGGGCCAGCTGCGGCGGGGACGGGCGGCGCGCCGGCCGGCCGGCCGCGCAGGGGGCGCCGCCGGCCGCGCTGCGGTGGCGCTCCTTCAGTAGAGACGGGCCGCCGCGCCGAGCGCCGGCCCCCGGTCCGTCGTCTGTCGCCCAGTCGCTCCTGCATCCGCCTGTGTGTGCCACTGTGCCCACATCCTATAACTTTCGACATCGAGACAAAGCCTATTAATTGGGACAAACTGCCTGTAGGCGGCCCCGCAGAGTGCACGAAATCGCCCAAGGACCGGCGACATACTATTCGGACACGGCGAGAGCCTGCCACAGCGTCCCTGCCCCCGCCGCCGCCCCCGCCGCCGCCCCGCCTCTGCCTCGCCGCCACCTCGGTGACCGTAGCTCTGTAACTGCAGATATTGCGTCTGATGGCACTAAACATGCTCGAGGAGCTGCGGGTAACGTTATCAGACGAGGAGGACTACCAGCGCACGCGCGCCGCCGTGAGTTGCCCCGCCCGGACCGAACCCGCCGCCGCCGCCGGCCGCTCTGTCTCTGTCTCTCGCTGCTCTGGCTCTCACTCACCCACTCTGCCTGCCTGTGGTCTCTGCGGCGGACCGGCTTTCGGGCTCAGTTTGGCCGTCTGCGCTCGGTCTGCAGTGCTGTCGCCTGCCGGGCCGCGCCCCGTCCAAACACCGACCTGTCAACTAAAGCCTCGGCGGGCACGCTGCCTCAAACTGCCTGCAGACCCTCGCGCCTGTGTCACTGCTTCGGGCTGTAATTTGGCCCTCGCCTGCACCGGCTTGGCTAAGGGCTCACCGAAATCTAGCGTCAAACACTAGCGCGGCGCCAGACACTAGTGGCGCGGCGTCATATACTGTTGTGGCGCGGCGTCAAACACCGGCGCGGCGTCAGACACCGGCGCGGCGTCAGACACTGGCGCGGCGTCAAACATTGGCGCGGTGGGGCTCACCCGACCATAGAGTAGCCGTATCTTGGGCTGTTTCATGCCCGCCTAGTCTTCACTGCAGTGGTGCCTGAGTTCGAGCAGTTGACACTAACTTCTTGCTGATCTGAATAGTGCTTAGAGCCTTAGAGCCTCTAAACAGGATGCGAGGTGCAGCGTTTTAAGATCCGATTGCTGGGCGTCAATTGACAATGAACCGGCTCAGTGTCCTTCAGTGGCTAATGGCCCTGTGGAGTGTCGTCTCTGGAAGACCATGGATATTTTATCGAGCTCCGGCGTACCTGATGGGCTGCCGCATTATATCCGGCAAACTTGAAAAATTCAAGGTTGAAGGCACAGATCCACTCAGAGGCTGCCAAATTCGGCCGCCAAGTTACCATTAAACACGGAGTGACTTAACGGGCTATGCGGGCGAATGTAAGGCCAGCCATGTTGATTGTCAGGGAGAGGGGGGAGGGGGTGGGAGTAGACGAACTCGGCTCCGTCCATCCTAAATCAACCCCTGCCTCCCGTCACGGGGGCTGTCACCTCCACCAGGGGCGCCCATTGGACCATAAGTATCGCACGAGCACCCATTGGACCCCGGTGATGAGGCCATAGAACGTCCACTAGGCCCCGACCAGGGTTACACTGTAATACCGCTGGCGATGAGTAGGGGAGAGTGGGGTAAGATGCCCAGGGTGGGAAAGACGCCCCACCCCCTCTAGCGGGGAAACAAAGAATCGAACCTGGAAATTAATGTTCTTAGCGTAAAGCGGAAGCCTGCCTTGTTAACTGCACAAAAATTTGCGAAGCTCAGTTGGGCAACGGCTGGCTGGTGATTGCATGTTTTTTATTTGCTGCTTTCAAAAAATATTTTAGCGTCAAAACATTGTAAATATCAAAGAAGGTAGATAATTTTTGCGTCCCTTGCTATAGTCGTGATACATGAACATGCGTGTACTGTGTCCCAAACAGTTTGTTTCAGGGTGTAGTTTTATGGCTAACAAATTGTGCTGATTTAATGTTACTTCGGTACCTTGGGGTAAGATGCCCCCTGTCCTGATGGGGAAAGACGCCCCCCTAAATCCGTAGGCTGTCCTTCAAGCAGCCCGTCAAATCATTTATTACATACTTGTGATGAGAGACAAAAGCCGATCTGGGACTATTGAGAGTCCGGTACGGTCGGGTGCTCCCCATGCCGGTCTCTCGGCCCACACAGCGACTTTTTGGGCGGCATCTGACTCTGAGAGCCCTCACGACGGCCTCTGTGGGCCCCATTATTGGTTCCAGGGCCCCTCACGACATCCTTTGAGGGCTCCCACGTTGGCTCCACGGGCCGCGCTGGCATCTGAGGTCCCCACGATGGGCTCGAGGGCCCTCAAGCATCATGAAGACCTATAAGGGCCCCACAGTGGTCTCCGAACGCCACCACGGAGGCTTGTTTGGCCACGCTGGACTATGATGGCCCTAACGATGACCTCTGAAGCCCCTTACGACTACTTTTGAGGGCCCTTACGATGACGTTTGGTGTCTACTGCAGGCTCGAAGGGACTACTGATACTGATTCGTTCAGGCGATTCACGTGCCTATTTATGTCACTTATAGTGCAGGGGGCATCTTACCCAACGCCAGGGGGCGTCTTTTCCACCCTGTGGGGTAAGATGCCCCCTTTCACTTCTTCAGGAAAATGCTTAATAGCAAAAAAAGTTATCATATTTCAGGCACGAAAGTGTGATATTTTTGGAGAAAAATGATGTCGGCTTCCGTTGAAACTCCAAGTTTTGGCTTTCCGATCGTCATTTTCGAATAATATATGACATAGTCAAACCCTGGGCATCTTTCCCCACTCTCCCCTACTCTGAAGAGGTATGCCCCTAGGCCCCGGCCTCGGCCCAGTGGACGCCGGCGGCCGTGCCTGGAGCTACCTCGGCGATAGTTCCATTTTGCCGGGCCAGTCATGAGCCAGCTGTATCTATGGCCGGGAGCGGCGGGATCAGCCGCCCAGATATCAGATACCGTCCACCCGCGGACGGCGTTCTCCGTAATACAATTTCATCGGAACTCTTTATGGTAGCGAGTTCGGATAGTCGCGCTCGGCCCAGTTAACACTGCCATTTTCACCAGACGTTGCCTCTTTATTTGGTGACAAATACAAATTTCCGTCGGCTTTTCCGTGGCCAAGGAAAGTTCTCAGAAAAGTATTCCTAGTTTAAGCAGCCTGCGCCATTTGGAAGGCATAAACAACCGTAACCTCCATTACCGATCTCCCATGAGGCACTAACCGTAAAATGCAACCGAGACGCCGGCGGCCGGGGCCGCTACGGTCCAGTGTGCCGGGGATGGCCGGCCTCCCCGCCCGGCCGCTCTCTGCCGCTCGCAGCCCGCCCGTCCTGCCGCAGCGGTCTGGCCCGGCTCTCTGCCGGCCGCAGCCCGCCCCTCTGCCCGTGTGTCCGCGGGCCCTCTGCCCGTGTGTCCGCGGGCCCTCTGCCCGTGTGTGCGTGTGTGCGTGCGTGTTTGTGTGTATGTGTTTAGTGGCCGCGGCCGCCGACTCCGTAGGCAGCGTTTTCCGTGGTGCCGCAGTTGGCGGACTGTGTGTCGTTGACGGCCGTGTGCGTAGTCGATGCCGATCTGTAGTCGACTCGTGGTCTGTAGCCGAGGCTGGTCCGTCCGCCGCCGCCCGCCGCCTGCTGTCAGTGCCGTCCCTGGTCCGTCGTGGTGTCAGGATGTCATCCAGCAGCACTAACGTGGAATGTCTTGCGGTTTCTTGCCACTAACATCTTTGTAGATTGTGTTGGATTTCTACATAGTCGCGGCAGTCTGCTTTCTTCAGCTTCTCTGTCTGAAGCGCCAAATTTCTGACGCTGACGTCTGTGCCCGCTCCCGTTCTTTTCTCTTTGTTCTGTATCACTTTTCATGCACATTTGTACATATTTTACATGTATATTGATTACAGTTGGTTATTATCTATCATATATATTACATATTGTGTTCTGAGTTTAGAGATTAGTTTGTGTTTGATGAGTTACTTGGTTTGCTCATTCTAAGTTGGGTCACAATACGGCGCCGTTTCGTTGCCGGAGAGGTGCTGGTCCGGCCGCCGGTCCCTGCCTCTGACCGCTGACCGCTGACCGCTGACCGCTGACCGCCGCTGACCGCTGACCGGCCGCCGTGTGTCTGTCTGTCTGTGCCGCAGCTGGAGAAGATATTCAGCCACGCTCGGCGGGAGCGTCGCGGCTCCGGCGGCGCCACCGACGCTGAAGGTAGGTGGCCGAGCCCCGCGCCGGCCCGGGCGGGCGGGACCGGGGCGGGGAGGGGCACCGCGGCGGCACCTGTGGGTTGGACCGTCACTGAGAGACACGGCCCTCTGACCCTGCGCGCTCCCCCGGCCGCCGGTGCACCGAGCGGCCGCCGTACCATGTGTCCCAGCCGGCCGCGTGTTTGGTGTTGTGACGGCCTCCCCGTTTCAGTGATTTATCCGCGGCGGGCTGACTTATGAATGAACTGGCCTCAGCTGCTAATGGCCTGACGTCCGAGCGACGAGAACTGAGTGCCTTTTTGATTAAACGCCTGCCGAGTGTGCATCGTTAATCGCTGCAATCCATTTCGCTTTCGGATGGATTTGAGAAAATGTGTCACTGGCTGCGTCCGTTTGTGGCGATATTGGCTCCGAGTTCGGAGTGGTTTCTAATGCTGCCTGTTCCGCTGCTGGCTGAGTTCAGTGACTGCCTGTGACTGTGTTGTGTGTCGGTGTGGAGCGATGTCTGAGCCAGCCGCTCCGCGGTGCGCCGCTCCGCCCACAGACGTGCACCTGGTGAGGAGGGCGCTGACCAAGGAGGACGCCCTGTTCGCGCCATGTACGTCTCCGTGTCCGTGTCTGTCTGCGTGTATGTGTGTGTCTGTCTGTCTGTCTGTGCGTCTGTGTGTCCGCGGCTGAGCTGTCCCGGCTCCGGGCCCGCGCTGCCCCGCAGTCTGTCCGTCCGCAGTCTGTCCGTCCTCCGCCGTCGGCAGTCTGTCCGTCCGCAGTCTGTCCGTCCTCCGCCGTCGGCAGTCTGTCCGTCCTCCGCCGTCCGTCCGTCCTCCGCCGTCCGCAGTCTGTCCGTCCGCAGTCTGTCCGTCCTCCGCCGTCCGTCCAGACGGAGATGTGCCCCGCAGTCTGTCCGTCCGCAGTCTGTCCGTCCTCAGTCTGTCCGTCCTCCGCCGTCCGCAATCTGTCCGTCCGCAGTCTGTCCGTCCTCCGCCGTCCGTCCAGACGGAGATGTCCAGGGTAGAGCTTGACACGCGAGTGCAATCAATTGGTCTCTTCATGCCGTTGTTGAACCCACTGAAATGTTTTGCGGGCGACTGGTCCTCAGAAGCGCCTAAATTATGCTGTTAACCATCTGCACCACCAGTAGCACTCGCGTGTCGCCGTCACGTAGCGGGCTTCGGTAGGAAGTTTTGGCGTAGTTGTCGGTCATGTGTGCGTAGTTGTTCGTGTATTCGTACTGTTCCTGTGCGGCAGTGGTGTGCCGGCAGGCCCGGCGTGGTCTGTACCGTACTGTACAGGTGGGTCTGCTGTCGAGGGCCGCGGGCGTGTCTCTGTCTCCCCGACTGACGGGACGGCGCGGGCTGGTGCTTAGTGTGCTGTGCCTCTGGGGCGGCCTGTGCTTCCCGCGCCTCTGGGACCGCCGGCGCCGCTTCTGGTACCGGCTCTGTATGTGTGTCTCTGTGCGGGGTGTGTCGGGCCGCCGCGTGCCGCGGTATCTCAGCTGCCCCCCCCCCTCCCCTCGGCTCCGGCCGCCCCAGGTCTGTATGATCTGGACAGGGACCCGCAGGAGCGAGTCTCCATTCTGCGCGGCGTTCGTAAGTGGCAGTGTGTCCGGCTGAGGGCCCGGCCGGCCCCCAGTCCGCCGCACCACCCCGCTCCGGCCGACCGGCCAGCCGCGGCACCGCACCGCCGCGCCGGCTCACCCGCCACCCTAGCTCAGCCCAGCTCAGCTCAGCTCATATTAGCTCAGTTCGGCTGTTCTTTTTGTCCCGGTCCAGCTGTGGTGTTTAGCCATTGGTTTATTTTCCCTCGGTTTACATTTTGATGGAGCATGTGTGATGAGCAATACCACCAACCGGCGCTTTGAACGTGGCAGCCGCACTGTAACATAAGCCGTTCATTTATTTTTCACGAGCCCTTCACCCTCGATATTGACAATTAATATGGCATCTATAAAACGAAAACCGCGCTACTTGTCTGACATTTTATTTTTCTCGTATTAATACCTGCTTTATGTTCCTTTAAATGATTGGAATGCATTTAACATATCAAAAATTTGGTATGCAACATAACAAATGCATCTTACGATAAACATTGCATCGATTTGCGTCAATGAAATAGAGCTGGGATCAGTTGCCAGTTCGTGGCCCCAATATCACCTGTTCGATCGCCGCGTTACCACCCAAAGTGCTGTTTACCACCCTCGGCACGGCTCTGGGGCGACCAAACCGGACCGCCCGTCCCCGGACCGTCCGGGGCGGCCGGACCATTGGGGCGGCCGGACCATCGCTCGGTCCAGTGGTGGCCATCCGGACCGTCCGGTGCCGTGACGGCTGACCGTTCGAGGGATGTGACCGTTCGAGGGTGGCCTGTCTCGGGTGACACCTTATCGGCGTCCGGCTGTGATTGGATGGACTATCGGGCTGTCCCCGCCCGGCGGTTAGCATGCTGAGGGTGGCCGCTGCCCGCGGGTCCCGCTGACGCGTGCCCATCGGTCTTCGTCGCCGGCGCGCTATCGGACAGCGGTCAAAGTTGTGTCAAAGTTGTGTTGGCCACCTGGCAGCCTACTGGAACACCGCCACTTAATAATGTAAATTAGTCAGGTCAGCTGCGGCGGTGATACGTTTATAAGCGACCCTTTTCCCGTCAATGACGTGTGAAGTCGTTTTAGGAGAAATTCCGGTCCTGTGTAGTGGAGTTAACCGGCTGTGACTCGGCTAACCCGTGACGTGTTGAATGGGCTGACCGCGGACCGCTGACCGCTGACTGTTTGTGACTGCTGACCGCCGACTGTGACTCGACGAACCACGGACCGCTGATTGTGACTCTGCTGACCGCAGGCTGTGTGTGACTCTGCTGACCCGTGACGCGCTGAATCGGCTGACCGCTGACCGCTGACTGTGTGTGACTGCTGACCGCCGACTGTGACTCGGCCGGGCTAACCACGGACCGCTGATGACTCTGCTGACCGCAGACTGTGTGTGACTCGGCTGACCGCTGTTTGTGATTCAGCTGACTGCTGACTTTGACTTATCTGGCAGTTGACTGTGTGTGCTGACCGCTGACTGTGTGTGCTTCAACAGTTGACTGTGTGTGCTGACCGCTGACTGTGTGTGACTCGGCTGACCGCGGACCGCTGACTGAGACTGCTGACCGCAGACTGTGTGACTGCTGACCGCTGATTGTGACTCGGCTGACCGCTGACTGCGTATGACTCGAGTGACTGTCCGTGACTTTCCTGACCGCTGACTGTGACTGTGTATGGCTCGCTGACCGTGTGTGACTTGACTGACCGCTGTGTTGCTTATGCTCTGACTCGACCGCCGCTGACTGCTGCTGCGTCTGCTGCTGCTGCTGCTGCGCTCTGACTCTGCTGACTCGGCTGACGGACGGCGCTGACTCTGCTTGCTGTGGCGGCTCTGGACGCGGGCTCGTTGTCGATCAGGCTCGCCGCCGCCAGCGCCGGGTGCCAGTTCTGCCGGACTCCGTCTGTACGGTACGGCCCGGCCACCGCGCCGTCCTAACTGGCCACCATCGGCCACTGCGCCAGTCCTCTGAACTGACCCTGCGCGGCGGCCGTGAACGGTGGCGGCACTCTCTACACGGCGGCTGTGGCGCCACTCGGGCTACTAACCGGTGAACTGAAGGACGGACTAACACTGGAACGACTCGGGCTACTAACCGGTGAACTGAAGGACGGACTAACACTGGAACGACTCGGGCTACTAACCGGTGAACTGAAGGACGGACTAACACTGGAACGACTCGGGGAGTGGAACTTCACTCAGTGGGAAGGAGCTGTTATTCTGCACGCAGAATGTGTGGGCCTGGGTCCGGTCGCTCTTTGAATGCTGTCAGTCCGGTGGTCTAGTGGTCATATTTCGGTCCACAGGTGGGTGCAAGGGCGGTAAGCAAAAGTGATTTAGCGTAGTTTAACATTTGCCGGTATATGTATTACCTTTATTTAACATTCCGGTATATGTATTACCTTTAATATTCCTTCGTATCAGCGCACTGTCACTGTCATTCACTCAATATACCCTGCTGTCATGCGCCCAATGTCCCACACAGTAGGTGCTGGGCGGTCCTATGTTAGATCAAAGCTTTACGAACATCAGTGTGTCATTCCGCGTTGCTCAGTGTCGAGAGATCCGATACTGGCGCATGGTATTGCACGTATCCACAGGCAGATGGCGGTGAACGCCGTGAGCCATGCTGTGCCGCAACACGCGTCTTTAGTACACCACTCTGCCGCTAGATGGCTCTGACGGTGAACGCCGTGAGTCATGCTGTGCCGCAACACACGTCCCTATTACATCAGTCTGTCGCTAGATGGCTCTGACGACGAACGCTGTGAGCTGTGCTGTGCCGCAACACACGTTTTTAGTACACCAATCTGCTGCTAGATGGCTCTGGCGACGAACGCCGTGAGCCATGCTGTGCCGCAACACGTCTGTAGTAGGTCAGTCTGCCGCCAGATGGTTCTGGTGGTGAGCGCCGTGAGCAATGCTGTGCCGCACCACACCTGGGGCTCCGTGCCAGGCGGGCACTTGCACACTGCATTCCGGAGCCTGTTAATCGGGCGGTGGGGATTCGTTAGCAGCCGTGTTAGCCAATATAACGTAGCTAATGCCGTCCCGTATGATAAGTCGAGGAGGCTCAGCCGAATGGTCGCAGAGCCGAGATGGCGCGGAAGCCTGCCACACGCACTGTGCGTCAGCGCGGCACGCGACCTCTCGTGCAGCCGGGGCCGGCCGGCCGGGCCGAGTAAGGCGCGCCACGCACCGGCGCTATTAACCCGCGCCCGGCTGGGGGTCCTGGATTTCCACGCCCTGCTGGGGGGGGGGTGTTTGAACACCCCCCCTTGTAACTCGGCTCCTGGGCCACGTAGCGATACGCGGAAGACGGCGTTCGAAAGAGCGTAAAAAATAATGACGAAATCACTTCGGTCATTTTTTTGGTCAGGTCAAAGGTCAGGTCACCAGAGGTCATTGAAGGCAAAATTTCGCCGATTTCCAGGTCGAATATCGAAAATTTCCAAGAAGCCAACGCATAACTCAGGAACCAATAGAGCTACAGCGCCGCGGAAAAGTGCATTCGATAGCCCTATTAACGCCCTTTCTGAGTAATTCTCTCAGATTTGACCTAACGTCAACGGTTTTGCCTGCAGGGGGCAAAAACTGCAAAAATAGCCGATTTTTTCTGAAACAGTTTTTCTGCAATAACTTTTGACCCAAGCCTTGTACGAGCTTACTTTTACCGGCATCGTGTTCCTCTCGTCAAGACGCATCGAATGAACTATAACTTGACCTTGAAAGGTCAACTTGAAAATTTGACCTCAGGTCAAGGTCATGACCTGACCGGAAAGGGTCATGTTGCATATCAGTCGATCCGTATCGTCGAGCTGAACACATATAAGGCGTTTTCATCGCTCTAGCATGCCTCTATCAAAAGTTATTTGCGAAAAACTGTTATATACCATTCGTGACCTAAGATGACCTCAGGGCACAAACAAGGGTCACGGACACCATTTTCATGTTCAGTGTGTCTTGACCACTTGTAATTTGGTGTTTGTGAGTGTTTATAATGTCTTTCGTCCAAAAGAGGCGCATTTCAATTTTCTCCCATTGACTTATAATGGGGAGGTCGCAAAATTGACCTGACCTTAGGTCATCGATAGCAAAATTCTGAGATATACATTTTGTACATGCTATTGCTCTTAGCAATCGCTGAAAGTTTCAAAGCGATCGGTCACTCGGTGTAGCTATGACAGACATTGAAACTTTTTATGAGGTGAGGTCACTTCAAGTGACCTGGTGACCTGACCTTGAATGACCTTGGTCTGAAATTTTCACAACATGTGTAGAATTGATGTATGATAAGGTGTACCAAAAACGGCGGCGCTCCGCGCCGCCGTTTTTGAGATATTCGCGAAAAACCACAAGGGGGGGTGTTCAAACACCCCCCCCCAGCAGGGCGCGGGTTAACGGCGGGCGCGCCTATTTCCGCGGCGGGTCCCGGTGCGCAGGTCTCGTGTCCTGGCCGGCGCGCCTAGTTCCGCGAAGGGTCCCGGTGCACGGGTCTCGTGTCCTGGCCGGCGTGCTGCTTCGTCCAGCGGCCTCTGCAGTTTTTCCGCCCGCGCCGTGCCACCAGTGGATCTGACTGTGCGTGCCCTGGTGAGCTGCTGCTAAACCCTGGGAGTCATCTGGCATTGTTCCTCGGAGTGGCAACGGCCGGCGGCCCTCTGTTGTATTTGGCCAAGTGGATTGTCGAATCAATGGTGACGCGTGCCGGGACTTCTGCTGAGGGCTGATCCCCTTCCGAAGATGGACTACGGTCGGTGTCGGCCAAATGGCTCCGGCCGGAGATGTATGGAGAGTCCTCAAAACATACCGCACTCGCCCAACTTCTCTCTGGGCGTGGGCTGAAAAAACATTTCATCATTTGATGAAAGGCGATGTTTCGTTAGCTGCGCATCAATGCACACTTGTTGGAATAATTTATTTCATTCGCAAGTTGCGACAATGGTCACATTCATCAGCAAGGTCAGAGTTGTACGTTTCTCTGATAGGTCATGCATTTTCCCTGGGACCAATCAGGCTCTCTGCTGGCATGAAAGATGACCGGTGTCGCGGGGACGGCCTTCTCTCTGATAACTGGGCTGCACCACTCCAGCTCCGACTCCCCCCTCCCCCTCCCCTACCGCACGGCGTACCGACCAGGGCGGCCCGAGTGGGGAACTGGACCGGTGTACGGTACTGAACTAACTCGGCCCGGGACGGATAGGACGGCCAGCCCGGGGTGGGGGACTGGACCGGGGTACTTAACTAAACTATGTAACTCGGCCCGGGACCGGTGGGACGGTCAGCCGGCCGCCTCCGATCGCTGCATGTCTCCGTTCGTTCGCTGGACGCTCGTCGGGGCTTCTTGCGCGGCTGCGATGTTGGCTGGTCGTTATCTCAATGTTTCCCGCCCTGGTGTTGCCTCGTTCGGTGTCATTTTAACGGCGGCGCCGGCTTTCGAGTATCTGCACAATGGGTGTTGTCTTGCTTGGCAGCAGCCAGCATTGCTGCGTTGTTTTTATCGTCGTATCCTTTTGGATTCTTCCACTTATTTTTATATCTTTTTTTGTGTTTTGTATTTCACGCCTGCGTGATCACCTGTGCGTCGCCGTTTGTCCAACAAATACGGATCACACACGCACTAACTTCGCCCTTCATGATGTCCAGCTCCTGTAAAACTAGAGTTTCAAACGTTGAGTTGTTTTCTCTGCTGGGGTCCAGTTTAGCCGGCCTCTTTGATGGCCGTTCCTCGGGCAGGTTAATATCACGGTCCGTCCACACGCTTCCCCCAGCGGTCGGTGTGCGGTGTGACCCGGTGACGGCGGGCCGCCGCTGACCGCAGCTCCGTGTCAGCCACTGACCGCAGCTCCGTGTCGGCCGCTGACCGCAGCTCAGCTCCGTGTCAGCCGCTGACCGCAGCTCAGCTCCATGTCAGCCGCTGACCGCAGCTCCGTGTCAGCCGCTGACCGGGGCTCTGTGTCAGCCGCTGACCGCAGCTCCGTGTCGCGGTGTCAGCCGCTGACCGCTGACCGAGCTCGGTGTTACAGGCTCTGACGAGGACGTGGAGGACGACATCCTACAGCACAAGAAAAAGGTCAACACCACTCTGCTGGTGCACTTCTTCGGCCCCAAGGGCGACCACGAGCTCTCCTACGACGAGTTCAAACAGTGAGTCCGAGGGCGATCACGGGCTCAAACAGTGAGTCCGAGGGCGATCACGGGTTCAGACAGTGAGTCCAGTCGACCGAGTTACGGGACGCTTATATTTGACATGCTTTCATTGCATTAAGGTATTAATTTGGTATTCATGGTGCATTTGCATTCATTGCCTCAGAATGATTGAGTGCACCGTTCGAACGTTTGATGATGTTTCAATACATTTTACCGTCGCTTAAAGGATGTCTTTCACATTTAGGACTGTTTAAAGTGATAACCCTTCTACCAATAAGTACTAACTGAATGGGCAAATAGTGTCATCGGCTGGATACAATAATCAGGGGCGTGTTGGCTGATTGAGTTCAGCCCTCCCTCCCCTCCGTCTCCGGTCCCGTTCCCGCGGGCGGACCGTGCGCGGGTCTCCACTGCCCGGCGGGAGGGGGCGGCTCCGGTGGGTTAGCGCCGCGGCCGCTGTTGCGCCACACCGCTGTTGTCGCGGGGTCGATGGGCCGCGGTGCAGAGTCGCGGCAATTACAGCGTGTCTGCCGGCCGCCGACGGGCCCCATCGGAACCGGCGGGGCGCCCGGTCACCGGCCGGCGCCCCGCAGTCGCCGGTCGCCGGCCGGCCGACTGAAGCCGGCGGTAGTTAGTCGTCGTCGGCACCGGGCCGACAGCTGCCGACGGACGGCGGATTTGTGACCACTGACGGCCACTTGTCAGGCGGCCGGTGCGCTGTCGGGCGCGATCCTCGCCGGCAGTTTGTCCGTCCAGTCTGACGCGCTGTCTGCCCGTCTGCCGCAGGTTCATGGAGAACCTCCAGGAGGAGGTGCTGGAGATCGAGTTTCAGGAGTTCGCCAAGGGCTACCACAAGATCAGCGAGGTCGAGTTCGCCAAGATCCTGCTGCGCTACACCTACCTGCGGCCAGACCAGTACGTATTCTACCGGGACCAGTATGTACCCTACCCACCAGGACCTGTGCGTACCCCGCCTACCCGAACCAATAGTAACCCGCCCGCCGCTCTCGGGAGCGGCTGCTGTTAGCGGGCCGCCGGCCGACCTCTCTGGCCTTACAGCCGGTCGGAGAGCGAGCTGACCGCAATGAGCGGCTCCATTGCGCCTCCTGAATGCCGCCGCCGACGGTGTGAATAGCGTCCGCCCAATATCGGCGCCGGCCGGGCCGCCGGGGGTCTGTACACGGGCCGGGTCGGGGGACGGTCACAGAGCGGGTGGTGGCGCGCCCCGGTCTGATGAGCGCCGCCGGGACGTGCGGCGACTGGGGAGGGAGCGCCGCGCATTCAGACGGAGACGAGAGGGAGGGACGGCATTCATCCGGCGGCCGTCCGTATTCGTCGGTAGTGGGTGGGAGGAATACGGCTCGGACCGGCAGCATCAGGTGGCCGCCGCCGTGGGGGGTGCTGTCAGCGCCGAGTTGGGCTCGTTAGTCGGCAGAGAGCGGATTATTGGGCTGGGCCGCGCGGCCACCTGCACGTGTGGGACGGAGGAGCAGCTGCGGCGGCGGCCCGACCACTCAGCGCCCCACTTATGGCGCTGGTGCCGCGACCTGTCTGAAGTTGGCATTAGTTGACTGGGCGGCCATGTGGGACCCGGCCCGATGGAGCTGCCGGGAGCTGCTCTCGGGGGGGGGGGGGGGGGGTCGGGCCCTGCCCTGACCTCTGGCGCCGCCAGGTGCGACCTGTACATCAACCACCCTGACCTGACCGTGACCCCTGGCGCCGCCAGGTACGACCTCTACATTGACCGGCTGGTGGAGCGGATGGAGGAGACGTCGTTGCGGGGCGTCACGTTCGAGGAGTTCAGGGACTTCTGCAGCTTCCTCAACCAGCTGGAGGACTTTGCCATCGCCATGCGCATGTACACGATGGCCGACCAGCCCATCTCACAAGGTGGGTCCGCCGGCCGGGCGGCGCCCCGCGCGGCTGCTGGGACAGGGCCGCTGTGAACCGTCAGGTGTGAGGCCGCGCGATCAGCAGACCGTCCCGGCGGCCTTATCGTGACGGGACGCGGATGCAGGGATTGAGCGCTGTCACGGCAGCCTGATTGACAGAGTACATGACGTCTGACGTGGCCACTCGACTGACGGAACACTCGTCTGACGGGGCCGCGCGACTGACGGAACACATGGCGTCTGACGTGGCCACTCGACTGAACGGGGTCATGCCGTGGGGACGGGTCGCGGCGCCGGCATATGTGACTACGGGGAGGGAGGTGAGTTGCTCATTACAATGGAACATGTGTCTCTGATCGTGGTGACGCACATTACCAACACTACCTTGATTCGCAGCAATCGACAAAACATGACAACATATTATTGTGGAAACACCAGCAAGCGAGGACTCCTCCGTTTTTTCAATAAAAAATACAATTTTAACGAAAATTGTTCGTCTAATTTGCAAACAACCTGCGGTTATGTTTAGCTCTTAAAGCATTTATTAAAAAAAAAACAATGCAAAGTAAATCTGAATTTTACACCTCCCGAAACCATCAGTAGCCTCTCAAACTTGGCATCATGGAAGGTAACATTTACCCAGATAGCTGCTTGATGGACTGTTGAATGGAAAAAATCCTCCAGGAAACTATATCAAGTGAATAATAACTGAATGTATTTATCAAATCCAGACGCTAGTGGCTCTGCTTGACAAAATAGTTATTTTTATATGGACATTATGAAACCTTAAATATCAAAATATCTTAATATTCGTTTGCTTAGATCTCACATCATTACTTACGGTAATGTCAGAAGAGGCCGAATCCCTGACGTCCGCAACTTCGCCGTATGAGTGGCTATACAGGAAGAACCGTGTCGAACAAATTGAATTCTGTCTCTTGAACAGACACGTTGCGTATATAAGATATCAAATTTAATAGAGCTCCGACGGTGTCTGTTTAGCGGCGCGTCATCATTTGCCGGGCAGCTGGCCGGTGGTCTATGACATCGATTGTCGCTCTGTGTCGGGATCAATGGCGGCCATCAGTTGTGAGCCGATATTGGAGCCGATATTGGCGGGCGGACGGACGGTGTGCGGCTGGACACTGACTGACGGATACTGACGAACACTGACGGATACTGCCGGTTGCGCGGCCCGGATACTGACGGGTGTGCGACCGGACAAATGGCACCGAAGTTCCGTCGGCCGCGATCTTGTAGGCCCCAGACTTGGGTCTGGTCGCTGACTTGGGTCTGGTCAGTGGTCAGGCCCTGGTCCAGTCACAGACTCGGGTCTCGTCTCAGACTCGGGTCTGACCAGACCCGAGTCTGATCACGGACTCGGGTCTGGTCACTGACTTGGGTCTGCCCCATGCTCGGGTCTGGTCGCCGCTGCGGGGACTGTCTGAGTGTGCTGGCCGCAGTGTGTTGGGCCGCTGCAGTGAGGACTGCCACCCTCACACGCTGACGGCTACCCCCCAGTGTTCCATTTTTAGGAATTTTGGGTGGAAAATCACACCTAATGGATAAAATATTTTCATCCCCAAAACCAGGTAAATTGGAATTCTTTCATCTTTGAAAAATGCTCAACTCATGCTCAACAATTAACAGCCAGATTACCAGATATACCTAGCAGCGCCATATAGACAGTTAGAATAGAACTTATAGGTTTGCTACATAATACATAATTTCCATGAAAAAAATCGAAATCAAGGCACAAACCCAACAACTCACCCTGACTGACAACGAAAGAAAATAACCTTGCACACTTCCAGCTGTTGATAACAAATATGCGTTGAATGACCTTGATCACCTCAACTGTTTGTAAAAACCAGGCTTGTGTTCTGAATAAATGCTTTTGGATATTCATAACAACTATGATTAGTGGTTTGCTGCCAACGCAAAACGGATGAGCCGCTGCTTGCGCAAATTAAACACTACCTCTGCATTTCGCTTTTGACTAAGTTGCGCAGGATACGCCTACAAAATTTTCATCTTTGGACCCGCAGTCAGCTGGGCACACCCTGGCACACCCCAGGGATGAATTTAAAACTTGATTTGCTCTAACTTCTTTCATATACAAAATAGGGGTATGTGACAGGTACCAACTTATTCTACATTCATTTCTGATCCTATTGTATCAATTTCACCACAAATTATGTCCGTCAATGGCTTCTAGAGGACTTTAAAGCTCGATGCGTCGGGCCTGGCAGAGGTCCAAGATGAGAAAAGCCACCCTGCGCACACCCTAGGGATGAATTTAAAACTCCGCGGTCTCTGGCTGGTTTCATAGGTAAAATAATGTTTTGAGACCGATGCCAATATATTATGCGTTTATTTCTGATCCTATCGCATTAATTTCGCCACAAATTATGTCCGTCAATGGCTTCTAGAGGACTTTAAAGCTCGAGGCGTCGCGCCTGGTAGAGGTCCAAGATGAGAAAAGCCACCCTGGGCACACCCTAGGGATGAATTTAAAACTCCGCGGGCTCTGGCTGGTTTCATAGGCAAAATAATGTTTTGAGACCGATACTAATTTCTTCTGCGTTCTTTTCTGATCATATTATATCAATTTCACCACAAATTATTTACGTTATTAGTTTTTAGATGTCTTTAAAACTCGAGGCGTCGGGTCGGGCAGGGGTTCAAGATGACTGACACGCCACCCTGGCACACCCTAGGGATGAATATGAAACTTTGTGGACTCTGGCAGGTTTCATACGCGAAATGAGGTTATAAGACCGGTAATGATGTATTTTACGTTAATTTCTCATGCCTTTGCAATAATCTTACCGCCAATTATTCATTTCAATTAGTTTCTAAAGGTTTTTAAACACGAAGCGTTCGGCCGAGGGAAAGCCAAGATGAATGAAAGGATACCTTGGCACACCTCTAGGGATAAATTTAAGATACGGTATTCCCAGATCTGCCCAATACATGTTCTGAAGCTGGTAGATGGGATTAAGAAGGCCCTAGCTTTTTAATAAATTATCCCTCGCCCGTATAGGGGGGGGGGGGTCGAACGAACCACCCCCTCGTTTTTTTTCGAGAATAACTCGCGTAAAAAGCGGCCGATCGCGACGAAACTTTCAGGACCCTCGAGTCAATTAATTTGACACCTACTCTGAAAATCTCATATTCCTGACCCAAATGACCTTTGACCTGTGACCTATTTCTTGAGGCCATGTTTGGCCGGAATCGCGATTCGGCGAGCCGCTAATGCGTTCCGTTCACTCCCGTTCCGTTTCGGGTGTTCTGGTCAGTTGTGCTCTCGCTTTCCCTTCTGCTTGGGGTGTCCTGATCAGCGATCCTCCGTTCCGTTGCAGTTGCTCTGATCAGTGATCACTGATGCCCTCCGTTCTGTTGCGGGTGCTCTGATCACTGATCACTGATCATTGACGCTCTCACTCAGCACTTATCACGTGACATGATACGAAGCTACCGCTCCGTTTCGGTGGCCGGCCATGAGGTCGGTGGCATCCTTTTATCATTTTTTTTTTTTTGCATCCCGTTCCGTTCCGATATGGATGCCCTGGTTACTGGTTAGTTGCACGCTTTTTATTGCGATATTGCGTATTATGCTGCGCAGTGCACATCGTTCCGTTTGGGGTGCCCTAATCAGTGACCCTTTGTCTAGTCTCATGTAGTGCACCGTTCCTTTCGAAGAGTTGCGCTGACACCGTTTCCATTTTCACTATGCGTAATGAGTACCGACTATCGCTGGCCGTTCCGGCGTTCGGGCCGGGAGATTTCCGGCGTATGTCATGCTGCATAGTGCGACTGCAATTGCATACTCAATACTGCGTCCCGTTCCGTGTGCCCAGAGCAAAGGCACCATTTCCAGTATCATCCGGCCATTGTCATATCTGTTGAAAATGGAAAGCTCAAAGCTATACTGCGTACACTGTACGAATATTACCAGATCAGATGCGAACGAAAACTACATACTTATATTGCCGCATATTATCTCAAATATACAGTAATCTTGGAAGCGGTGCTGCCATATTGTAGGCGCAAAACGTCCCAGAGGCCAGAACACATGAGTTATACGGTTTCCGGTTTCATAGCGATCAGTTAAGTCAACAAACTGCCCATCAGGGTATCATGATCGCCTAAAATTTTATGTCTGACAGTGTCACAGTGATGACCACGCCTCACGCATTACACGGTCTGAGTCAACTGCACTAAATCAGGAACTTAGCAGATGCTGACGGTAATATCTGCTGTCTGCATCTGAAACGGAAAGGAAGGCATTGATTTAAGGCTAGGAGAAGGATGGCCACTGGACAGTCATTCAATTGTGACAATGCATTTTGACTTGTGAGGAAAATGAAATCTCACTGGTTGAAGTAGGTAGCTGTATAAGAGACAAGGGTGATTCTTAACTTCATTAGTCTCAATCAAACACAAAGGTTGGGATAAAATGGGACGGATTTCGAAACACTTGGCGATCAGATGCTAAAGTTATAATTCTGCCGTATATCACCCTTACCTATTTGCATCGTCTTTTTCGGTTAGTTTTGGTGGTCAGGAATGGTATGTTCTTTTATTATCAGCCAGCGTAGCGTTACGCCTTTATTGCGAAAGTGATATACATGTAGGTTAGTGATATGTAGGTTTTCACTTGTTTTTTTTTTCATCCTATATTTTTTGGCCATCATCGTCACACCCAACCAAAATCCAATTTTAGAACACTGCTACCCCCTCACCCGCCACCCACAGAGGAGTTCCACCGCGCCGTGCGGATCTTTACCGGCAAGGCGCCCTGACCGAGTGACCCGCCACCCACAGAGGAGTTCCACCGCGCCGTGCGGATCTGCACCGGCAAGGCGCTCTCGGACCACGTGGTAGACACCGTGTTCTGCATCTTCGACGAGGACGGCGACGGACAGCTGAGCTACAAGGAGTTCATCGGCTTCATGAAGGAGCGCCGCCAGCGCGGCTTCAAGGTGGGTTCCGCCGCGGCAGGGAGGCGGGCGGGCTGGCAGGGGAAGTGGTGTACCAGGGTCCGGGAGTTGGGGTCCTGCCGAGTGTCCCGGGCCGATCGGCAGGGGCCGGCGGAGGTGAGTTGGTTGACGGAACACCTGTCGGGTGAGAAATATCACACAGGTGGGGCGGCTGAGACCGCTGCTCTCCGGCGCCGTCGGCCGGGCTGGTAGCGGCTCGCTGGCGCCCAGTCGCCGCAGTGGCCCCCCTGTCAGTCATCTCTGTCCGCGTATTGACGGCCTGTTTTGCCTCGTGGGCGGCCGACCGTCGCGGCTCGCTGCATCCGGCCGCTAACAAACGGCCGTCGGACGTACAAATAAGCACCGGCGCCGGCGCGGCGAGCTAGGCCGGCCGCCGGCGGGAGCCCCGGGGCGGCCCGCGGCCCGCCGGGCGGATACAACGGCGGCGAAACAGCAGCCGGCAACAGACCCCGGCAGACGGCCCGGTATGGCGGCACCTGGGAGATGGAGCCCGCGCACACAAACCCCATGGATGCTGGCTGGCCGTGGACAGTGGACACGGTTGTTCGGTGGATAACTGGACGCGGCTGCCCGCCGCCGGTGGTCGGACTGTCACTCCTCTGATAGTTCTGTGAGCTGGTTAATCCCCCCCCCCCCCCCAGCCGTATCGGCGGTGTTCGGCCGTCCCTGTAAAACACAACTCCAGTGTCGTCTCTCGAACCCGGCCTATGACCACCGACAGCCGGACGCCATCAACTGAGCTGACCGACGAACTTTTCTGATTTATTTTTTATCGGAGCCTTTATACGTCCGGGACGGCCGACAGTTGCTGTTCGGCGGCGGCGGCTGAGTCCGTCCTGAGGGACGGGCAGGCTGCCGAGCCCCGCCACCGGCCACCACTCGGGCAGTCTGCTCCTGTGGACTCACTCGCCCCACCTCAATCTGCAGTTAACGCAGGTCCTTTTTACCGGTAAATTGGGCCCCCGGTCGCGGCGTGGCCCGCCGTCCGGCCGATCAGGTCACGTGTTCGCCTCTGATGGCGCAATCTGCTGCGGCGAGCCCAGGGACTGGGTCTGGGACAGCGTCAGCTGACGTGGCCCGCATCGACCCGCAAAATGAGGTGATTTTTCAGCCGGTATGGAGGGCATTACCTGGCCGCCTACAATCGCACGGTCTGGTGCAACTTGTTTGGCCAAAACAGAGCTGTTTTGTTGCAAGTTGCGTCATCTCAAATCGGTCGGTTCTTCCCATCAGCACTGAGTGATGGCGACTGTCTGAGCTCGGTCCCCCCGTCTGCGCTGCTTCAGTGACCGGACAGACGTCAGCTGACCTGAGCCGGTCCCGTTTCAGACAACACCACGCACCACCGGCTGGCAGGCGTTCAAGTACTGCGTCAAACAGGAGATGCGCACCTCGACCTAGGTGGACCGGACTACCTGTGCTCGACCTGGGTCACTGCGGCTGCTGACCTGTGCTCGACCTAGGTCAGCCGCCGCGACTGCCGACCTCTGCTGGACTCGGGTTGACCGCTGACCCGTGCCCGACTCGGGTCGGCCGCTGACCTCGACTCGGGTCGGCCGCTGACCCGTGCTCGACTCGGGTCGGCCGCTGACCTGTGCTCGACTCGGGTCGGCCGCTGACCTCTGCCCAGTGCCCGGCGGGTCGGCGCCCGGCCAGTCGGGTCGCTTCCCGTTCCGGCTCCGGCTCCGGTCACGCTCCCTGTGTCTCCCTGAGCTGTTCTGGTCAGTGTGAGTACTGTGTGGGCGGCCGCTCTCTGTGTCTCCCCTGAGCTGTTCTGGTCAGTGACAGTGATGTGTGTGGGACGGTCGACCGCTCCCTGTGTCTCCCTGAGCTGTTCTGGTCAGTGACAGTGATGTGTGCGGGACGGTTGACCGCTCTGTGTCTCCCTGAGCTGTTCTGGTCAGTGACAGTGATGTGTGTGGCTGCGGACTGGACCCCATGGCCCCGTACCGCCGGTCCGGCCGTCTCAGTCAGTCAGTCAGTCAGTCTGTCCGTCTCGGGGCCGCGTGTGGTGTGCTGATTAACCCGAGTGGGATCGACTCCGCGGCGCGGCAATCTGTGTTATCCTGTCCCGCCGCCGGCGGTCTGTGTCGCGGTAGTTACACCTCAGCTATATAGAGCGGCCCGCTACAGGGTCGCGGAGTATCGCCGGCCGTCAGACTAGCTGCTGGCACACAGTCCTCAATGTGCTCTGGTTGTGTTCAAACTCAGTGGTGCTCTAGGGATTCTGTTTGCTGGGAGGGGCGGATCAGTGTACCTGGTAGGGCCCCCACACCCGTGTGATCCTTGTGTTAGGAGCGTGTGTGCTTGTGGCGGGTTGGGGTTCCAGTTGAGAATGGCGACCTGAGGATGGTAGGGCCCCTTCGAGTGACGGCCCTCAGTTGGGCTACGAGGTGGAGTGGCTGTTCCACATCGGATGGCCGCCCGACCCGATGTGGAATTTAGTGCGTTGAAGCGTCCCCCGCTGGTTGAGTCAGTGTGTTTGAGGATTGTCACTCGCTGTTGGAGTCAGTGTGTTAAAGGAGCGTCCCCCGCTATTGGAGTCAATGTACATGGAGTGGAGGATTGTCACCCGGCGCTGGAGTCGCTTTGTTGGCTCGCCATTTGAGTCGTTGTGTGTGTGTGTGTGAGTCGCGGGTGCTTCTCTCGGAGACCGGCCGCTGTGTTTGTTGTTTGCCGGCGGGCGGTGACCGCTCGTTGGCGTGTGTTTGAAGAGCGCCGCTGTTGGAGCCGCGCGGTGCCGACTCGTCTGTGTGAGGTGCCGAGCCGTGGACTCGGCGGGCGGGCGCACGCCCCCGGTCAGTCAGTGCAGACCGCCGCGCCCGGCCGCGCCAATGGCCATATTGTTACATTGTTCGCAGAGCGCGGTATTGGATCGTTGTTAGCACTAACCCACAGTCGTATGATCAAGTGAAGCCAGTCTGCGCGCCGCGCTTGCCTCATCCATCTTATGAATCGCCGCCGAGATGTACCTTTTCTTGAGCTGTTGCATGGTTTGTGATCGCAAAGCGGATGGTAAATACACGCCGGAAATGTTTATTTTGTACTCTGTGGCCCGGGACGGCGTGTTCCGGCCAGACGCGACTCCGGGGGCCGGGGCAGCGGTGCCGAGCCGCCGGGTATTGCACGGACCTGGCCGGGCGCCGCACCCCGCACTCACACACATCGACATCGCTGACAACACCGTATGAAACGCGCGCACGAAGCTCGCTTTATGGCACGACAGCCGCGCTACCCGCTCAGTGACTGGCTAATGTGGGAGAGGACGGCCGACCTGGGAGTGACCGGGCACTCACTGACCGACCTGGGAGTGACCGGGCACTCACTGACCGCACTGGGAGTGTCTGGACACTCGCTGGACAGTGGATACTGGCCTATCCGGGAGTGACCGGGCACTCGGGCACTCACTTTTTGACATGAGGGCGACTGAACCCTGGACACTGGAGTTACTGGCCGACCTGAACGAAACTGGCCATCTTGGGAGTGATTCTTTGGCCATTCATTGGACACTTCTGTACACATTTGGACACTCATTGGACATTCTTGGACACTCATTGGACATTCCTGGACACTCAGTGGACACTCACTGGACGAGACTGGCTCTACGCGGCTGACCGGTGAATGTCTGTCCAGTTTCACTGGCGGTCCCCGCGCAGAGCTGCCAAGTGACGCCCGAGTGGCACACGGAAATCACACACTCACGCTGCCTCTGTTCGCGCTAACCTAACACTCGCACGCGTTCTCCGTCCCACGGGGCGGGTATCGCGTCTCAATTCACCCACAAATATCCTGAGGAGCTCACCTCTCCTCCTGTATGGCCGAGTGAATGCCCCTGCGGACGTGCGGACGTGCCGGCTGCCAGATCCGGCCTCTGGTTGCCGCTACCGTCCGCTGACCAGCCCGTGTACCGGGCGCGCTATCACGGCGCCCATATTGCTGAGCGTCCGCCCGACGGACCGGCGCCGGCAGCTGTGTGCCCCCCGGCAGATCGGGCCGCCGATGACGTGTCTCGACAGGCCAATTGGCCGCCGGGCCGCTGTAATGGTCACACGACCCCGGACGGCGCGGGTCGCACGCGTCGGATCCACGGACCCACGGACCGACGGCCGGGCTTCAGACGCCCGTGTCCTGTCTGTGCAATGCCGGACACGGCGACCGTTCGCTGCACACTGCTGCGCTCTGGGTAGCCGTGGTCTCACGAGGTCTGCTGAGCTCTCAGGTAGCCGCGTCCTGAAGACGTCCTGCGCTCTAGGTAGCTGTGTCCTGCACGAGATCGGGCTGGTCGTCGCCGCCGCCGGCGCGCCCGTCGGCTCCCAGCAGCGACGTGACGGTCATCTGCTGCGGGTCGGCGGCGGCGGCGGCGGCGGCGGCGGCGGCGCGCTCGGCGTCCGAGGCCAGCTGGCGGCGCTGCACGGGTCCGCTGGCCGGCACCTCTGTGCTGAGGGTGCGCCGGCGCGGCGGCGCCCGGCTGCCGCTGCCGCGCCGCGCCTGGAACCGCCGCCACTGCAGCACCAGCTGCGAGCGCACCTGGAACCGGCGGGGGTGGGCGGTCACTGGCTGGAACAACAGGATCACCAACTAAACCCAGGATCATTGATTCAGAAGCCGGACGCGGGGTTGAAGTTAATCTGAACTGAGCAATGCATTTTTAATGCGCTGTCATTCAGTTTTCAGTCGCTACATTATTCTCTCTTGCATTGAATTTTTGCTCAGCGTATTTCAGCGCTTTTCATGCTGCATTACTTCATTCAACTTTTGTGCGGCCTTTTGAGAGAAAAATAAAAGAAGTAGCGGCTCGCGGTTTGTAAAAGGCAGCGGCAGTTTATTTCTCGGACGTGGAGGCACTAAATGGACGGCCGGCCGAGCACGCACGGTCGCGCAGTGGCCCGCGGCGGCTGGCTCGGCGCCGCGCCGGCCCACTGACCTCGGCGTTGGTGTAGAAGTAGATGCAGGCGACGACGGCGCCCTGCAGGCCGCTGATGAGGTAGCTGACCACGTAGTAGGCCTGCTCGGCGTCGCAGTCGACGTCGTCGGGAGGCGGCAGCGCCGTCACCAGAAACTGGAGGCCGAACAGCGGCACCAGCATGGCCGCCGCGCGGAACGAGCGCCTGCCGGACCGACGGACGGGGACGGTCACTGGACAGTCACCGGACGGGGGACGGTCACCGGACGGGGACGGTCACCGGACAGTCACTGACGGGGGACGGTCACTGGACAGTCACCGGACGGGGGACGGCCACTGGACAGTCACTACATAGACGGGGGACGGTCACTGGACAGTCACTAGACGGGGGACGGTCACCGGACGGGGGGCGGTTTCCGGGCGGGGACGGTCACCGGATAGTCACCGGACGGGGGACGGGGGACGGTCACTGGACAGTCACCGGACGGGGACGGTCACCGGACGGGGACGGTCACTGGGCAGTCACCGGACGGGGGACGGTCACCGGACGGGGACGGTCACCGGACGGGGACGGTCACCGGATAGTCACCGGACGGGGGACGGCCACCGGATAGTCACCGGACGGGGGACGGGGACGGTCACCGAACGGGGGACGGTCACTGGACAGTCACTGACGGGGACGGTCGCTGGACGGGAGACGGTTTCCGGGCGGGGACGGTCACTGGACAGTCACCGGACGGGGACGGTCACTGGGCAGTCACTAGACGGGGGACGGTCACTGGACAGTCACTAGACGGGGACGGTCACTGGACAGTCACCGGACAGTCACCGGACGGGGACGGTCACTGGGCAGTCACCGGACGGGGACGGTCACTGGACGGGGACGGTCACTGGGCAGTCACTAGACGGGGGCGGTCACCGAACGGGGGACGGTCACCGGATAGTCACCGGACGGGGGACGGGGACGGTCACTGGACAGCCACCGGACGGGGGGCGGGGGACGGTCACTGAACGGGGGACGGTCACTGGACTGGGGACGGTCACCGAACGGGGCGCTATCGGGGCGCGCGGCCAGGTGCAATGGAGCGGACACGGCCTGCGGGGGTGGCTCGCGTCGGAGGGGGCGACCGGCTGACACTGACGGCGGTATCACCTCGGGGGGCTCCGGCGCCGACACGATGGCGCGCGAGACGCTCATAGCGGCACCAGCAGCGCGCCGCGGCGTGATTTGATGGCGATTGGTCGGCGTCGGCTCAAAATGGGATACACTCAATGGCACGATCAATATCCGATTTTTGAATATTGCAGGATTTGAGGAACCATCTGTTCATCGCGGTATTGGCGTTTGGCAGCATGGGATGGTGATGATATTGGGTGATTCAGCGCACTTCATTCAACGCCCACGATATCGCACAGACAAAGGATGTCAACGAGGAGTTACAATGGGGTGGAATCAAATTGTGCTGCACGAGTCCGGACTTTTATGCGTTTTGATAAAGCCAGAAATAACCGGTGGCAGTTCTGAAGCCGTGCGGGATGAGCAGAGCCGACTGGCGCCTCATCCATCCTTCAGCGCGGCTCACACGGACGTCACAATCAAGGCACGCAATACAAATGAGCCCCGTCCGGGGCAGTTCATCAGGCGCCGTTAGCCGGGTCTGTCGGCGGACGGCTGAGGCGGCGCCCGCCCGGTCCGCCCGGTCCGCTCTGGTCCGGCTGAGGCGGCGCCCGGTCCGGCTGTGGTCCGCTGTGGTCCGGCTGAGGCGGCGCCCTGTCCGCTGTGGTCCGCTGTGGTCCGGCTGAGGCGGCGCCCTGTCCGCTGTGGACGCCCGCTGTGGTCCGGCTGAGGCGGCGCCCGGTCCGCTGTGGACGCCCGCTGTGGTCCGGCTGAGGCGGCGCCCGGTCCGCTGTGGACGCCCGCTGTGGTCCGGCTGAGGACGGCTGAGGCGGCGCTCGGTCTGGTCCGGGGGGCCGGCTGAGGCGGCGCCCGGTCCGCTCTGGTCCGCCCCGGTCCGCTGTGGTCCGGCTGAGGACGGCTGAGGCGGCGCCCGGCCCCGGTCCGCTCTGGTCCGGCTGAGGCGGCGCCCGGTCCGCTCTGGTCCGGCTGAGGCCGGATGAGGCGGCGCTCGGTCTGGTCCGTGGGGCCGGCTGAAGCGGCCCTTTTCGCGCTCTGGTCCGGGGGTAGGGGTAGCCGTCGGCGCCCAGCCCGCCCCGGTGTGCCGCCGTCCGTCCCCGACTGACCCCGTGTGCACAGCACGGCGCCGCCGCCCCGGGGCAGCCTGTGTGACGCTCAGCGATGTAGGCCCCAGAATACGCCGTCATTCAGCCAGTAATCAGACACTGAGTGTAAATCACTCGCCCGGCGCGGCGGGCGCTCGGTGCTGTCAGCATAATCAATGGATCGCTATTCGTTTTCGAGTCCCTGGATTGAAACCAAATTGTTTGCGCCCAGCTCTAGTTTATGGCGTGATGCTCATAGGGTTGATGCATTCATTTATTGGACATATATTTTCTTCAGGCTCTTAGGCTTGCTTCTTGTCAAGTTAATAGATAACCATGTCAGTTTGATGCTAACATATAGGTACTTTTCCGTTGGAATGGTGTTTTAGATTAGTGAACACAATGTGTTTGCTTAGACAAGTGAAAAATGGCATAGTATGTAGGTGCCAGGTGCTAGCAGAATGAAAACACATGCCAAACGGAACGGGTTACAATACAATGAACCACTATCAGGTAATCAATATCGCGCGATTCTTGTCATTACACTATTTACACAAACCCTGCAATAGAAATGAGATATCCTCGGTACGCCCTGACGAAATAAAGCAGTCGTTTTGCGTAAGCTTCATTTGCTGACAGTTCCAAGGCGCTCTTCCTCTGATGGTTGTCGCCGGCCTGTCTGTCTGTCTGTCTGTCTGTCTGTCTGTCTGTCTGTCTGCCGGGGACGGCTCACGCTGACCCCATGACGGAGGGTCGGCGGACGACTCTGCTGAAAGTTCCGGCGCTGGGTCTGCTCGGTGAGTCGCCCGCCCCAACTCCGAGTCCCCCCCCCCCCCCTACTAAAGTAGTCCTCCGTTCGGCCGGCCACTGTGGCGGGGACAAACACCGTAACCGGGTAAGCTCGGCAGCCGGCGGCCGGCGCGGCCGGGGGGCGCACTGTGGGGATGGCTCGGCGACCGGCCGCGGCGGGTCGCTGCTCTCGTAAAGCAGGCCGCGTCTGTACCGCGGACCGAGCTGCGTTTGACGGCCGCCGCCGCAGCTCAGACGCCAGATCGACTGCTGCCCGACTGTATAGCGCTGACGCCGCGATCCGGTATCGGCGGCCTCCATGGCAGCGCTGTGGTGGGCTCAGTGGCCGTAAATATCTGCAGCCATGACGTCCGGGAAAATAGAGTCCAACATCCGGACAGCTAACACAGTCGTGAAACGAGGCGCTGAGATGCGCGCCCAGGATTGGCTTTATGTTATTAAATCACTCGGTTACAGCCTATGGAGCTATGGTATCTATTTGCTGTCATACGCAGACATACGTTTGCTCCGTTTCCTACTACATTTCTGTAGTAGGTATGCGGTGTGGTTGCCACGGTGTGTATTTCTGCGGTGTGGTTGCCACACATTGATGGAACAATATGGCGTTGAGTAACGTCCTTACATATGATATAGTAAAGTTTAGTTTTTTAAGGTACTTTTATAAAAGCTTACCTTATTTTACAGTCGTCTGAGTCGACCGATTGAGGAAGGCGCCGAGGGACCACGTCAGGCTTAAGGCTGCTGCGCTGATATATTGTCGATGCGGTAACAGAGAACCTATTACGACACAGGCCTGGTAAAGCGTAGTATCCATTTGATGTAGGGTGTCCCAAGAGTAACGTTATCATTTGTTTTAGCCACATCTCCGAAAATATGCGATGGATAGAAATATAAGAGGTATCATATGTAAGGACATTTTATAAAATTTTGTTGTGTTATAAATATGAGTTAATATATTGGTTCGTTCGTAGCCCATATTTACTGCTCTCTGCATGGCTACAACTTCGGGTCGCGTGCATGAATATGTGTTTGACTTCCTCCGCTATTCTGGAGCAATTCTCTGGTGAGATGCCGCTTATGTTTGCTCAGACGGCTCATCCTTTGGCTCTTCTTGGCTCTCTGGGTTATCCTCAAAGACAACCCCTCCGATGTGTACCCGGAGAATAAAAATATGGAGGCATTAAGTCAGGTGACCGCGGAGGCCATACGATGGCGGTGCCCTCTGAAAACAACCGATTTCACATCCATTCTCGGAGACAATCATTGCATGACCTTCAGGACGGTGCAAGCATGGCCTCCAACCTGCTGAAACCACTGCTGGTTGATGGTGTCGAGACACAGCTGTGCTGCGGCAAGCAGAAGAACCACTGGAGGACCCTCGGCTACCTCTCTTGGTTTATTGCCACCGAATTCCCGCTGTCGTCCTCAGGACATCGAAAGACAGGTGGCCAAGTATAGGTACATGCCCTGTGCGCGTATTAACTATACTTTTTCTGGCGTTTTGCCGGCTGTGAATGAGTTCAGAGATAGGGCGGGGTGGCCGAAAACTGAGCGGTATTTACGTTTTTTTCGAACGACAGACCCTCTCATGGAGAAACTATTCGACCACTTCAGTTTTCTGCCTACTGCTCAGTGAAGTCATTATCAAAAATGATTTTAAGCATGCAAAAAAAAAACATTTTTATGAATGTACCCTGCACTTGCTAACATTTAAAGTCATTCGGATTCTTACTTCTCGAGATATTTGGATTTTAAATCATAACCTTACTTTTGGGACACCCTGTAGTCTCTACACGTCAGTATACTTGCTTCTGGGGCTGATGAGTGGTTGACGACCGATGTAGATGGAATGCAGAGTCGCCGTTTTGTCTTACTACCATATATTATTTGCTACTGCCTATAGGCAATAAACATACCGCCTTTCGGAAGGACTTCAGTTGTGTGACCAGGGCCTCAGTTATCGACTAAAATGATTTCGGTTGTTATAAAAGAAATAACATTTTGTGTTGCGAGGTAAGGGAAGAGCTATTCGATATGCGAGCACGCAGACGGGGGCGGCGAGCGCGGCGGTTCCTGCTGTCTGAACCTTGCGGCGCAGTCTGCCGTCAGGCGCCCGGCGCGACAGCCATCTAGCGGCGGTAATGCAAAGCTCAGTCCCGTACGCGCCCGAAGGCCCCCTCCCGGCACTCACCTTCTGGCCTCGGAAGATTCCAGCTTGGTGTTGAGTATACGTAAAACGTTGATCATAAATCCTAGGTTTATCTGTGGAAGACGACAGAGTTTCTCAAATGACCGTCTGTCTGCGTAACTAATGGACTTAAGTTAAAAATGGCAAAGACGGCTTGAGGTCTGTGTCATAACAATTAATAGGCCAACGAAAATACTCAGCTTGGTATCTGATACTTATATCGTAAAACTTAAATTTCCAGGTCTATTAATGCTGCATTGTGAGCATTCTGAGGGAGACCAGGTTAGGTACCTACCTGATAACATTATGGTATCAATATGTATTTAGTTATTTATACGTAGTTGCAGTACCTACACAGTTCGCCGAACTCAACGGTTTGATTCCCTTTTACTTCATAATAATACCGGCACATTTTTACAACTCAACTTGTTTTCAGCAAGTTGCATTCAAGATGTTTTCCAGAACTCAACATTAACCCGGCGCGCACGCACTAGCGAGCCACACTACAGCGGTCCCGGTGACTCACTAAGAAGCAGGCGAGTTTGGGCGCGTCCAGAATCCAGACCAGGTTGTGAACGTTAAGCATCCAGCAGAGCTCGTTCTCGAGCACGACTTTGGCCGCGGCCCAGCCGGCGACAAACAGCACTGGCACGCCTGCGGCGGAGAGTAGCCGGCCGGGTCAGAGCACAGCGGACCGGCACATCACTCCGGGGTCAGAGCACAGCGGACCGGTACATCACTCCGGGGTCAGAGCACAGCGGACCAGTACAGCAGTCAGCACTCCGGAGTCAGAGCACAGCGGACCAGTACAGCAGTCAGCACTCCGGGGTCAGAGCACAGCGGACCGGTACATCACTCCGGTCAGAACACAGCGGGCCGGTACATCACTCCGGGGTCAGGGCACAGCGGACCGGTACAGCACTCCGGGGTCAGAGCACAGCGGACCGGTACAGCACTCCGGGGTCAGGGCACAGCGGAGCAGTGCAGCACTCCGGGGTCAGAGCACAGCGGAGCAGTGCAGCACTCCGGGGTCAGAGCACAGCGGACCGGCACATCACTCAGAACACAGCGGACCGGTACATCACTCCGGGGTCAGGGCACAGCGGACCGGTACATCACTCCGGGGTCAGAGCACAGCGGACCGGAACAGCACTCCGGGGTCAGGGCACAGCGGAACGGTACATCACTCCGGGGTCAGGGCACAGCGGACCGGTACATCACTCCGGGGTCAGAGCACAGCGGACCGGTACATCACTCCGGGGTCAGAACACAGCGGACCGGTACATCACTCCGGGGTCAGGGCACAGCGGACCGGTACATCACTCCGGGATCAGGGCACAGCGGACCGGTACATCACTCCGGGGTTAGAGCACAGCGGACCGGTACATCACTCCGGGGTCAGAGCACAGCGGACAGGTACATCACTCCGGGGTCAGAACACAGGGCCGACCGATGCATCAGTCCGGGGTCAGAACACAATGGCCCACTTGATCCGGGGGCAGAACGCCGCGGGAGACGGGTCTCATAGTTCTGTGGTCCTTAAGATCACAACGGCAGACAGGTCTAAATGGTCCGAGACCCGAACATGCGGCAGCCCCGAGTCTGTTTGGTCCGGAACCTATGGTCACTCGCAGCACAGCAGCAGGTCCTGCGTCTGCGACTACAATGGACCAGAGCAAATCAAATCTAGCCCGCCTTAGGTTCCATTTGCAGTTTTTCTTTCCGTGCTAACGCGCAGCAGAGCATTATTGATCAAACGAGGGACAAAGACCCGATCCCGGCTCAGCTTTTTGGAGGGAGATCTGTCTGTGAGGGAAGACAAAACACATCGTGACTGACCACACATATCGCCTGTTTACGGTGGGAATGGAGAAACCATGATTAGCTGCAGCAACAATATTGTCAGGTGTAGCAGTTCTCTGGCCCATTCAACAGACGCGTTGGCCGCGAAAACATTCTCTTGAAGGGCACGATAGCTGGTGGGAGACGTTGGGCCTTGCCCGTCCTTCGGAGCACCTCCTTTACCGCTGCATAATAATTAGCGGTCGCCGGGTGGGCTGGGGTGTGAGCGGCGAGCGCGGCCGGCGGCGGGAGGCGGCCCATCTGCATGCGGTGTTCCGGCGGTATCGGATGGGCACCTCTCCAGCCGTGTATTTACCGCGGACTCTGCCGCAGCGGACCAGTCGGCAGTCCGCCGTCGGTCCCCAGATCGACTGAGCTCGCAATCTGGGGTACTAGGCACGCCCGCCAGTGTTCACAGCGCTACGGGTCTGTTAACTGGATAATGGGTTTGGATGGATTACTGCTTTGAAGCTGCCTAGACCTCTGATAAGTTCGGAGTTTGGACCATGCTGCACCTCGCTATAAATGCCATAGCTTTATACAGTGAAACGCAGCGGAGGAGCGGACATTGACGCTGTATTCATCTAATTGATCAACCAATTTAGATGAGATTTAGTCCTGATGATCTGACATTGCTAAAATCGAAAGGTCTTTTACAATTTCATGCTTGGGCAAGCCATTCAAGAGCATTATTCCCGATCTGATGTCTAGCGTTCGTATCAACGAAAGTACACAGACGTGAATCCAGTGAAGCCACCAACCATTACCCATTAGAGGGAATTGGAATTGATTTGACAGCCGTTTTTCCTCTTAATGTAGATGGCATAAAAATGCCCCATTGGGACGAACATCTTCGTTGCCATTAGTATTACATTAGTATTACACCGATCCTGAAAGTTATGCTATCCTGACCTAAGTTATCCATGGACCCTTCATCTGTTTATATACAGATAAAGCTCACGAATTCGATTGTATAGGTTGAAAGAGCTGGGACCCACGCTAAGCTGAGTTTATTGCGCAGGCTCCGACCCCTACCTACCCTCTGATCGGACAATTCCAGGTATCGGGAGGATTAGGATGTCGAAGCTTGAAGGGACCCTGCCATCTTAAAAAAAGTTAATGAATTGGCATAAAAGTGATGTCCCATGGTTCAGAAAGATAGAAAATGAGTATCTACCAAACTTCACCAACAAAAATATTCACTGGTTTTCAGGGTATTATATAAACTTTAACTTTTGTTCACTTTTTGGGACCTCTGCTGTCCCTACGACGTCATTTGGAAGCAATAATTTTGCATCCTAAAAGTGCGGAACATGCTAGGCGCAAAGCAGTAGGTATATAGGGTAGACCGGGGCAAGTCGCCCCGCCGAGGTAAAACGCCTCACCGATGTTTCTCGGAACTGGCAGAGTTCTGGGGAAACATCCTCTCTTCTATAAAACGTGCACTATATGATCATTATATGAGCAGACTGGAAAGAAATTGTGATGACTCTTTCGGGAGATATAACCAAAAATGTGTTTTTTGAGCGATTTTTATGTTTTGTTGTCAGATTATACATCATGGCGTTCTTTTATGGTCCACATCAGGTTAACGACTTTTATGTATTTTGAACAACTATTGTCTAACGCTTATCATGCCGGGTTGGTTCGTGTTAAATCATGTCTTGCTGGAGTGCAAAGCGTTGTTCTCTGACCGAACTACGTGATGGGGTAAAACGCCCCAGTAGGTCGCGGGGCAAAAAGCCCCATGGGGCGTTTTACCTCATGTGTTGTTCGGGCTACCCACTTTCTAATGTTCGGTAGCTGGCGAACAGTAAGTTTCTATGCCTTTATGTGTATTTTTCTCAGCAACTGGATGGCAAAGGAAGCATTCTGTAAACATTTGCATTGCAATAATTTATTATTTGGTCTTATGAGGCAGGTGAAAAACCTGTTCATACAATAGTGTCATAGCTGAACACCTGACAGGATGGAATGTGCTAACTTCAGTGCCGTGCCTCCAGAGGTCTAACGGACCTCTCACATAAGATTAAGCCAACTACCATGTTAAATCTGTAATCTAAAGTATGGGGCTACTTGCCCCAGGCCGTGGGGCGTTTTGCCCTGGGGTTGGGGCAAAATGCCCCATTTGCAGTTGCTTCACAAATCACTTCCTAGCTTGGAGTCCGATCATAAGTGAATGAATTTGAGGGGTGCAATTTAAAGTAAAATGTCCAAAGAACGCATTGAGCACAAATTTGGCCTTCCAGGTGATGTGGGACAAAATTTATGTAGCAAAATAAATTATCTGGGGCGTCTTGCCCCAGGCTACCCTACCACCACGTTTTACCGATGGTTTTAGTATAAGATTTAAAAATCGTTAGGTCTCCAGCCTCCGCTGACGCCACAAATACTAAGGGGGCATTCAAATGCATTAGTCCCTTAGAATCTGAAAACTGCAAGTTAGAAATTAAATATCTCCGAATTAAAGCAGTTCTCAATGTTGTGAGTGCCTAAACCGGTACTTGCAAGCTAGTGACCCCAATTTGGCTATATCAACTCGAAACTAGTTTTAACCCTCGCCGGCACAGGCCATTTTGCGTCCTTCGACGGCACAAGGGGGGGGGGGGCTGGTACGACCCCTCCTCGCGTTTGGCTCCTGATCAAGCTAGAGCTTCTCGGAAAAACGAACGTGCTGCCCGTCACGAGAAGAAGCCGATGATACCCAATTTTAAGGTCCTAGGTCATTGGTTGACCTTCCAGGTCAGGTCAATGACCCAAAAGATGAGAAAATCGTGACCTGTTAGAAAGTCGTAAATTGTGGCTGCTGTGGGTTTTTTTGGGGTGCTGATCACGAATGTCGTGCTAGTTTTGATCACATATGATGTCTTTAGGCATCTTGAGCAGGTCGGGTCAGGTCAAGTCAGGTCAACCAGTAGGGGTCGTGACGGGTATTCGTAGTACGTGTCAACTGCCTCCGACAGCTTCGTAACATGTTACGAAGACGCCAAACTACTTCGTAGATGTTCAAATGGTTGCTAAATTCGAATTCAGCTCCAAAAACTAGCCAAGAAACATGTAAGACTCGAAAAAGTGAACCGAGGTCACCAAAGGTCAGTGACCTGACGTGACCTTTAGGTGACCTTGACCTCCACCCTAATGCATGGGAGCAACGTCAAATCACATTTTTGAACGTTTGAAACCACGAAAAGCTTGCAAACGCGCGGCTAATGCGAGCCGACATACGCCGAATCGCGATTCCGGCCAAACATGGTCTCGGAAACAAGGTCACAGGTCAAAGGTCATTTGGGTAAGGGTCATGAAATTTTTAGGGTAGGTGTAAAATTCATCAATGCGAGGGTACTGAACGTCTCGTCACGATCAGCCGCTTTTTACCTGAGTTATTTGCGAAAACCTTAGGTTGCATCCCCCCTGTGCCGGCGAAGTTAAGGTGGGATACCTATTTTTTTTATAAAAAAAATATAATTTTTTTATAGTCATTTTAACGTCCCCATCAAAACCGGTCGCGGTCTGTCCCAGTCAGCCGACTCCAGTCGGCAGCGGCTGCTCCCGCCAACGGCAGGCCATCCCCGTCGGGAGGTTCATTACCACCACTGCAACCTCCACCACCTAAACAATACCGGTCCTGAGCCTGAGGCTAAAGAAACCTGAGCTGAACCGGCCTACCGCACATGCACAAATACATCATTTTCGAACGAGACAATTATTAAAAAAAAAACTCGCTTCCAGAGCGTTAGACCCATCCGTATTTTTTTTTTTACATTTCGGTCATTAACCTACCAGAAAGGTCAATGTATAAAGATGAACCCTTC